CACTTCTTCTGCTTTTCAGTTTTTTTGTTTGTTTGTTTGTTTGTTTTTGTTTTCTTTTTTCTGTTTTTGAAAAGAAACTTAATAGTTTGGCTCAAAAAAATCCGTCATGTACTCGTTAATGAAATAGTTCTGTTTTAACTCTGTAACTTGCGGTGTGTGATGTTTGTGGTTTGTTTTATCGACTGTTGTATTTATTTTTGTTCGTTTGTTTTATGAATTGTTTTGATCTGCTTAGGACTATGGATGAAATTCAGCTGCTGTGCTAACTCTTGCGCATTTATATTCATGTAATATTGATTAATGTGCCCTGTCTTTTTAAATAAATGAATGAAATAAATTAATTAAATTAAATTTTTATTTATTTATTTGTAAAATTGAGCAAATTTGGGATATTTTGTTATCTTTCCTGTTTTACCTTTAAAGTGAGTGGCTTAGAGTTACATCTTGGCAAACTTTAAGTTGGTTTAATCACTGAAATTATTTTTTAAATTGAAATATTCATTTCAAACATCTATCCTTTTTCTTTACCTACCTTTCAATTCAGTACTGGTATATTACATTGTATGTATTTGTATACATATTTTGCTCCACCCTGCTGATTTAGTTTACATGTTGAAAAAAGAGTGGGAAGAAGTTTAAACATAAATAAACTCATCACATCTCTAAAATTCATCATTTATCAGCTTCCTTATTAATGTAAACCGTACTTAATTACAACAAATAACATATTTCTACGTACACAGAATATATACATTATATAAAGCATTAAACATTGTCACATGTGCTCCTTAAAACAAGTAAATTGTTAAGTTACAGGTTTTTTTGTTAGGTTGTTTTTGTACATTTTCTTGAAGCTTAGATTATATTTGTCACTAAATCAATGTGCATGTGAACCCAGATTTGTTTCTATTGTTTTCTTGTGCTTTCTTTGTGTCATAATACCATGTAACAGTAAATTTATATTCAGAATTTTACCACAAGCACAAACATTTTATCATTAAACTACACACTTCCAAAAATTTGAAATAACCAATCCAACTAAGACTGTTTTTTGTTATTGTTAGCTCAGTGTAATGCAATTTTTTTTGTCTAATTTTTAAAAATGACTCCCTCTAAACGCATACTGGATGTATAAATAAATATAAAATATGCCCGTTTGCTCATTGGTGCCATTAAGACAGTCAAAAGCAACAAGTTCAGTAGTAAAAACAGTTAATTGTGTTTACAGCTTATTTCTGTTGGGGCCCAAATTACTGAACAAGATTTGATACAATCACAAAAACATAACTAAAATTAATAGATTTTATGTTTTTCATCGGTTGCAGTAATTTTAGTTGTGCTCTGTATTTTGTTTTACTGAACGGGCATGCACAAAACTTGCACAAATAAGTAGATTTAGCCTCTGCTGAGCAGTGTAAGCACTGGAGGGAGGTGACACAGAACCAAACTGAAGGCCAAAGGGTAAAACACACACTCAGCCTTCAAACTCCAGTGGTAGCGAGGAGGAACGGGGGCAATATTGGCCTGCAGCACACATAACTTCTAGATCAATGACGACAAATGAAACACTTACTGTAAGGAGTAGCTGAGAGGCTGGGTTAGGAAAAAATAGAAATATTAAGATTTTTAGACAGAAAACAGCTGGATCAGCCTCCCTGTTGGGTTTAAAGCAATGTCTTTGAAGTGTCTGTCATATACTGTATTTTTATCTTGAATTTATAAAAATAAGTATTCATAGGTTAGAATTAGCTAAATGTAAAAAAAATTAAAGGGTATACCTGTACACTCTTTTTAACCACAAACGGGGTTTTTTTTTTTTTTTTTCAGCTTTAATTACTGAATACCTTTTTTCTACTTTTATATTCAGATTTTTTTTTTCTTTTTTGCCAAAGGACCATGACCAGATGCTATAAAGAAATGGTTCCCAACCCTGGTCCTTGAGGAACACCGTTCTGCATGTTTTACTTGTTTCCCTGCTTTGACGCACCTGGTTTGAATGAGTGGGTGATTAACAGACTTCTGCAGAACTTGAGGAAGTAACTAAATCACTGAATCAGGTGTGTTGGAGCAGGAAAAACTGAAACATGCAAGATGGTGTTCCTCAAGGACCAGGGTTGGGAACCACGATCTTTTTAAATTCAGCTGCTGTTTTTATTATAACTCAACATCAGCATCAGTTTATTGCAGGTTGTTTATTGATAAACTTAAATGGAAATGAGAACAAATGAGGAAAACTACCAAATTATTTCTAAAAATGCTGTTTATAGATGTTTCATCTATAGACAGGCAGGCAGGCAGAACACGGTAACTTTTTAATGCTGTGGTCATTTTCTTCACCCACTCTTCTGATTTTTTTGTTTTGTTTAGTCTTTTTTTTATTGTTTTTCACTCTTTCTGAATTGTTGTCTCCTGGTTTCTGGTATTGAGCTCTATTTTAAAAGTTTTTAAAAAATCTGCTCTGAGAACTGAAAGAGAAATGAGACTGTGTGTTTGTGTCTGCTGCTCAGGCGATCAGTCAAACCGTGGTCATAAACACGAACTGTATGCAGTCTTCTGCATTCTTTGTGTCTTCATGTAAATCAGATGCTCTGTCTTACTCTCGCTTTCTCTCTTTCCCAATTTGTTTACATGTATTATTCTTTCTCTCCTCCTAAAGATGGAATGGGCCGAGTCCTTGCTCAGGACGTTTATGCCAAAGACAACCTTCCACCCTTCCCTGCTTCAGTCAAGGATGGATATGCTGTAAGAGGTGAGGATCATGGATTATAGCTGATTATCTAAAATATGTCTCAGTCCATCCATCCATCCATTATCTTTTTACCTGCTTCTTCCCTTTTGGGTCACCGGGGTCGCCGGTGCCCATGTCCAGCAATCACTGTGCGAGGGGCGGGGTACACCATGGACAGGTCTGCAGTCCATCACAGGGGCACACATAGAGACAAACGAGACAAACAACCATTCACTCTCTCACTCACAAGGGACAATTTAGAGTTAACAATCAACCTAACATGTATGTATTTGGTCTGTGGGAGGAAACCGGAGTACCCGGAGAAAACCCACACATGCACAGAGAGAACATGAAAACTCCACCCAGAAAGGCCTCCAGACCGGGATTTGAACCGGGGACCTGCTCGCTGAGAGGCAGCAGCTCTACCAGTTGTGCCACCGTGCTGCCTTCTTTTGTGAAATGTATGGTAAAATTCTGCAAAATATGTGATTTATAATGTGTACAGTTGTGGCCAAAGTTTTTGATTATGACACAAAATTTGGTTTTCACAAAGTTGGCAGCCTCTGTTTTTTAGGATCTTTTGTCATGCTATAAGTATCATTTTAATGCATTCCATACATTTTTTTTTTTTTTTTTACTTTTTATTGACAAATACGTATAGTTTAAGCAAAAAACTTAATACAAAGTTTTTAAAGTGTTGACTCTTCTTCTTTAAGATTTCTGCAGTTCGCCTCAGCATGCTTGATATCAGCTTCTGGGTGAAATCTTGACTGATGGCAACCCATTCCTGCCTAAATCAATGTTTGGAGGTGATAAGAGCTTAGGTTCTCAATGGGATTGAGATCTGTGGAATTCCTGCCCATGGACCCGAAATTCAATGTTTTGTTTACCGAGCTACTTGTTGTCATCAAAGTTCATGCTCAATAATCCAGATAAAAAAATCAAACAAGTTTTTTTTGTTGTTGTTGTTGTTGTTGAGACGTTTTGTCCTTCATCCAAAGGACTTCATCAGTCCAAGGAGATGCAAATAAACTCAGTCCCACAAGCAGTACACTCCCATAGTGGACCAACCACTTTGCTGGTGAGAAGATGGTTTCTGGGGCCCTCCCTCTCCCCTGTCGACTCCTCTGAAGCAGCTTAGATGCTTGTGGGACTGGGTTTGTTTGTGGCTCATCGGACTGATGAAGTCCTTTGGATGAAGGGCAGAATGTCTCAACAACAAAAAAAGAAGCTGTCCAGATGACCTGACTGAACTTTGTTGGATTCGTACCTGGATTATTGAGCATGAACTTTGATGTTTTGAACCACTTTGTCTACGGCTGCCTCAGAGGAGTCGCTTAGGGGAGGGAAGGCCCCAGAAACCATCTTATCACCATCAAACTGGTTGGTCAACTATGTGAGAGTGCTGTTTGTGGGACTGGGTTTGTTTGTGGCTCATTGGACTGACAAAGTCCTTTGGAGGAAGGACGAAATGTCTCAACAAAAAATAAATAAACCGTCCAGGTGACTGGATTTTGTTGGATACGTGGTTATCACTTTTGTCTTGTGTCATGGTGCTCCATCGTGCTGGAAAAAACATTGTTCACCTCCAAATCATTCCTGGATTGCTGCGAGTAGTTGCTCTATGAGGATGTTTTGATACCATTCCTCATTCATGGTGGCATTCTTAGGCAACATTTTGAGTGAACCCTCTCCCCTGGATGAGAAGCAACCCCACGTTGAGTGGTCACAGGATGCTTCACTGTTGGTATGACACAGGACTTATGGTGGCGCTCACCTTTTCTTCTCCAGACAATCATTTTTCCAGATGTCCTAAACATTCTAAAGGGGGCTTCATCAGAGAAAATAACTTCCCCGCAGTCCTCTGCAGTCCAATCCCTATACTTCCTTCAGAATGTCCTTGAGGTTTTTCTTGGAGAGAAGTTGCTTCTTTGCTGCCCTTCTTGACACTAAGCCACTCTCCAAAAGCCTTTGTCTCTGTGCGTTCAGATGTTCACACACCTGCCCCGTACCATTCCTGAACACACTCTGCACTAGTGATGATCCGATCTCGTATCTGCATCCTCTTTAGGAGACAGTCCTGATGCTTGCATCACTTTCTTGCACGCCCTGAGTCCTTCTCACTGCAACTGAACCACTCTCCTCAAAGTTCTTGGTGATTCAATAAGCAGTTGATGGGGGTGCTATCTTACAAGCAGCAACGTCTGCAATTCTTCTGTTCACTCTTCACAATGTGTTGATACAAACTGACACCGTTATTACCAATTTTTTTGTTTGTTTTAGCGGCTGATGGCCCAGGTGACCGCTTTATCATAGGGGAATCCCAAGCTGGAGAGCAGGTTTGTGCACGCGTTTAACTTCCATATTTTCTGTTCCACACATGCACCTAAAGAAACAGAGACGTTCTCACACCAATACCTTCTGCAAAACGTCTGTTCTTCACTTCTTGCGTATCAGTACGTTCCACTTTTCTCACATCAGATGGTTATAATGACATGTCAATTTATTGTCTTAGTTTTAGCTTACCAAAGAAAATAAGTGTGCAGTGGCCTGAATCTGGTTTAATTCAAGTTCGATCGAGTTATTTTACTGATTGGTGACAGAATGTAAAATAATGTGGGAATGATGTAACCTGATCTGCACCCAAGTCAGATTTCTGTTCCTAATTGTTACAGAAATGACTGTTAGACGTTTCAGACCAGTTTGACCTGATTTACCAAATCATGTCAATTATTCATTATTTCTAATTGCATTTTTAAAATGCATTTATCACTTTGAATGTGAAGCCCACCCACACAGTGATGCCTGGCCAGGTGATGAGGGTGACGACGGGTGCACCTATACCCTGCGGGGCCGACGCTGTGGTCCAGGTGGAAGACACCGAGCTCCTCCGCGAGTCTGAAGATGTAAGTGTGGCACGTCTCCCAAACAAAGACAGTGTTTTGTTCAAAGTTAAGTTCAGAAATAGAGAGATTACAGATATGAATGTGGTGCAGTCAGTTCAGGCTGATTGATAAACTGCATCAGTTCACTGAGATTAATCAGCTTTTCTGCCGTTCAGGGAACAGAGGAGCTGGAGGTACGGATTTTAGTACAAGCTCGTCCAGGACAGGACATCAGGTTGGTTTGTGTTTTGCTGTTATGTTCCAAAAACTGTTATTCTTCTGTAAAATTAAAACATTCTTAATTAAAAAGTCTAAAAAAAACTTCTAAATTAAACATGTTAGCTTACCTGCTTGTTTTTCTTTAATACCTTATATAAAGCTGATTGTATTTGATTTAAAACTATATTATTGTTCATGGCTGGAGGTCAGATTACTTAAAACACACACCACATCTCTACCTGACTGTAAGAACAACATAAAAATTAGCTTTTGTGGGGTTTGTATTTTTTTTATTAACAGTGCTTTTGTCTCCACAGGCCCATCGGTCACGACATCAAGCGTGGGGAGTGTGTGCTGGCAAAGGGCACCCATATGGGCCCTTCAGAAATAGGTCTCTTGGCTACTGTGGGAGTCACAGAGGTGGAGGTTCAGAAATTCCCTGTGGTGGCCGTCATGTCCACAGGAAACGAGGTAAATCTTAAACAAAGCTTTTTTAATTAGGACAAATATGGAACTCATGTCTGTATTTATTAAACTGATTTTGCATCAGTTGCAATCCTAACAGTGTGCTGTTTTTTTTTCTTAACATTGCATCTTGTTAATATTTATGCACAATTACAATATTTGCTCTGGTTGCAACCAGAACAAATTTAAGAGGTGAACGTACAGTCAGGTGCTTGAACTGTGATACGAGTTAAGAGCTGTTTGTTTATCTCTCTTCATGTGGTTTCTTTTGGAAATAAATTTACACATTTCCTATGTTCCTCTTAAGGAATGAATGTTTCATGAAGTGTGTCGCTGCCCGAAGTGGGTTTTGCAGACACTTCTACACATTGACTATGGATCAGGATAAGACATATGCCTCAAAGTTAGAGGTCATCATGGCTACCATCTCCCAGTGTGAAAGGTGTAATCACATGTGCACACAATTTTTTTGTTTTTTTGTTTGGTACATTTGCCGTGACCAATATAGAACCTTTGCAGTTATTTTTCCTAGTTCATGAATAATCATGTCTTTACTCACAGACGCTTTGTTCCCCATCACTCTTAAGTAACAAACATTTGTCCAAAATGTTGCCTTATAATATTTAGTTTCTCTTGTGTTCTGGTAGCTGCTAAACCCAGAGGACGACCTCCATCCTGGGAAAATCAGAGACAGCAATCGCTCCACCCTGCTGGCCACTATCCAGGAACACGGCTACCCAACGATTAATCTGGGCATCGTTGGAGACAAGTACGACTTAATGTTTTGCATCTACATACCGATGTGGAGCATGTGTTGATACCTTTCCACAATAATAACTAGAAAAATTGTATTTCCTGCAAAAATGCAGTGTGAATGCACATTGCTGAAGAACTTACTGAAAAACAGCTGAAATTGGCTAAAAACAAGCTGAAATGCAGCTGAAATTTAAATTAAAATTGAAAAATAAGCCCAAGTTAGCAGAAGAAAACAGAAAGAACACATATTTGCTAAATTTGATTTAAATAAGCAGAAATTATCACAAAAATTAGGAAAGTCGCTTAAAAAAAGACTGAAATTAGCACCAAAAAATAGGTGAAAAGTAGATGAAAAGGTAGAAAGAAGATTAAACTACCAGGAGGAAGTAGAAGGAGCTGAAATGAGCTAAAAAACGTGGAATTAGCTGAAAAAGCTTAATTTAGCACAAAACTACTAAAAATTAGCTGAAATAGCAGAAAAAGATAAAACTAGCAAAAAAAAAGTTTAAATTAGCAGAAAGAAGTTAATTAAGTTGAAAGTAGCAGAAATTACCACAAAAATTTGAATTTATTTGAAAACGGCTGAAATTAGCTGAAAATGCTAAAATGCTTTTAAAAAGTAGCTGAAAATGTAGCACAAGCTTAAATTAGCAGAAGAAAGCAGAAAGAACACATTTGCTGAAAGAAGCAGAAATGAGCATAAAAATGTGGAAATTATCTGAAATAAGTTTAAATTTGCAAAAAAAAACAAAAAACTGCTGAAAAGTAGCTAAAAATTCAGACGGAAGCGTAAGTTACCAGAAGGAAGTGGAGCGAGCACATTTTTGCAGAATTAGACAGAAAAAAGTTTAAATGAGTGTAAAAAAATGTGGAATTAGCCAAAAAAGCTAAAATTTGCTTTAAAAACTGCTAGAAATACTGTAAATAATTAAAAATAAATTTTTGCAGTCGCTGAAATAGCAGAAAAAGCTGAAACTTGCATAAATAAGCTGAAAGGAACATAACAAGTGGAAATTAGCAGAAAGAAGTTAGAAGCAGGAAAATGTTGTTGGCAGAAAGAATCTGAAAGTATCACAAAACAGCTGATATTAGCTGAAAGCAGCTGATTAAAGTATAAAGTTGCACAAGGAAGCTGAAAGAAACTGAACGGGAACAAAATGTGAAAGGAGCAGTAAAATGTTATAAACAGATCTAAAGATTTGAAGGATGTAAAATGAGCTCAATTCATTTTCTATGAGGGGGAAAAACAACAGAAAAGGCCAAATATTTCAAAAAGCTAAAGGTGCCAAAACCAAAAGTCACAGCACCCTTCTCCTGAACGAGCTAAATATTTTGATATATGATTTGTTGAAGTAGCACAAAAATTGTGGAACGAGAAAGATGCCGAAAATCGTGCGGAAGAAAAATGGACCACAAGAGTGAATGCTTCCTAAACATTTACACAATAAAAAACACAACTGATGGGACTTTCCAAAAAGTGTCTCATCAGTTCCAGAAACTTTGGAGCTTGTCATCATGTATTTTTTTTAACTAATTTCCTTCTGACTTTTTGTGATTTTAAATCAAAAGTGGAATCTTCAGGGCTCTTCTTATATGAAGCCCATTAGGTTTCAAAATGTGACTGATGAAGATGATCAGAAAGGGACGTTCTTTAAACTTAGCTTTCACCTTGAAGGGTTTTCTTGCCTCTTTTCTACCTACTGCACTGTCTTATAAACCTGGTGTTGCAATTCTTGCGTCCACATCCTGTAGGTCTGACTATAGGCTCAGGAACCTCATAGTTCTTCAAAATGTTGGCAGCTGTGGTGTAAGGAACATGAAGCTTCTAGGAGTTGGTCTTTTATCCTTTCAGAGCTCCTCAGACAGCTCTGGGCTTTGCTTTCTCTGCTCCATGCTCAGTGTGTTGCACACAATGATACCAAACTGCCCAGTTTAACGTTTGTTTCTTTTAAACAGACTGGATGAAAAGCTTGAAGGTACCAGTGATATTAATTAAGGTTGAACAGTTAGCTTGAAACAAACACAAAGTTACATCTTTTCACATTTTTTGTTTATCAGATGCTAACAGCATGCACATCTACATTAAACAGTTCATGAGAAGCAAAGTGTTGTGTCAAGGAGCTGTAAGGGCACCAACAAATCTATGTCTGTCAGTACTCTTAAACTTTACATTACTTTTATCTTCACGTGGCCTCTTGTCCAAAGCTGGCTCTGTTTTTCCTTTCTTTCAGATTTTCCTCTCTAGTGAGTTATTAGCTGACGTATGTGTGTGTGTGTGCTCTGTGCTTTGCAGCCCTGATGACCTTCTCAACGCTCTGAATGAAGGCATCAGCCGTGCTGATGTCATCATCACCTCAGGAGGCGTGTCCATGGGAGAGAAGGTGAAAAATGTGCCACATTGGACAAAAAAATGTTGTTTCACTGACACCTTGTGGTAGATCAGAGAACAACAAGATGTGTTTTTAAATCAAATTAAAATATTTATTAAATATAAGTTTTAATGTCAGTTTTAAATGTACTTTTTTAGTAATTTCTTGCTTTCAAATATCTTTTTAGGATTACCTTAAGCAGGTGCTGGATATTGATCTTCATGCTCAGATCCATTTTGGTCGTGTTTTCATGAAACCGGGGTAAGGAAAGAGAATCCGCTTCATTCCTTCAACTTTTTAACTTTGCTATGAAATCTTTCACTAACACTTAAGACAATGTTACAACCAAGATAATGATTACAAGCTTTCTTTGAGTTAGCGTCTCAGAAATTTACAGTAAATGTTTTGTCCTTTCCTTTTTCTTTTTCAGTCTCCCAACAACATTTGCCACCTTGGACATAGACGGTGCTCGCAAACTCATTTTTGCCCTTCCAGGTAGTGTGTGAAGTTGAGAGAAAGAGAGATTTAGCCAGCTGCTTTGTCAGAGATGTTACTCAGATATTTTTCTTTGTGCTCTCCGTCCTCTCTGTTCGTCCCCGTCTGTCCTAGGAAACCCCGTGTCTGCTGTTGTCACCTGTAATCTTTTTGTCATCCCTGCCTTGAGGAAGATGCAGGGCATTTTGGACCCCAGGCCCACTATCATCAAAGCACGGGTATGATGCTCGGGGAAATCAGGGAGTCTCGTCCGTTCTCAATAACTCCATTGTTGTTTATTTTGAAGCATTAAAAGGTTTTCTCTTCTCTGAAATGCAGCAAATTTGAAAATATTGTTTGTAATTAATGTGCTGGTGTTTTATTGCAGCCCGTTGCATCGTAATTGTGACCATTTTCATCATCTGCTTGTTCAAATTTATGACCACAGCTACCGTGATTTGGTAAAGGCGTCACGGCCCACACTGACCCTGAAGCCTCGGCTTCAACGATGAATATTCATAAATGTGGAATGAAAAACAACAAATCACAAGAGTATTTTACACACAGAGCAGATGAAGCTCACATGATGACGTGAAGTTTAAGGTCTCCTGTCATTATGGGTGCCTGCCAGAGGACAGTGTTGCATTACCATATTTGCCGGCATATAAGTTGCACCTTTTTTTGCATAATTAGCAAGTCCTGCGACTTGTACACCAAAGCGACTAATATACTTTTTTTTTCACCCATATTTATAACCCAATTTTGGGCTGAGATCTAACAATTTCATTCATTCTGACATGAAAAATATTAAACATTACCATTTGCAGCTGCTAGAGGGCCCTTGCGCATTATGGCAAGCCAAGTGTCTCATTAATAAGTAAAAGTGGCTATTAATGAGACACTTGGCTTGCCATACAGAGCCACCTCTGTCTTGCTCCGGAACTCTTGGAGCAAACATTAAATCAGCTGCATTTCACCACGCCGCCCAGGAGAAATGCAGCTGATTTGACCGTTAAAGTGCATTTATTAAGGAAAAGTTCAACTGAGACACACCTTTACTATAATGTCGAGCAAACTAATAATTGTTTTTAAGTGTTAATCTTGTTAAATTCTTGTTAAAGTCCTCCCTCTGCATGCTCCTGCGGCCACCATTTTGGCAGCCAATCGATTTTTGGCACAACACAGACTCGTGTTTACGGGTGGTCAGCGGTAATAGATGCAACTTATACAGCGAAGCGTCTTATTTATGTTTTTTCCACTCTATTAGACATATTTGGACTGATGCGACATGTACAGCAGCAAATACGGTATTTGCTGTGAGAAAATAAACTTGAGCATGTTAGTGCCGAAAAGTTGCTTAAAAGTTTGGATGATGTTCAATTAAATAGTGTTCTAAATAAAACCTCTGTTGGCAGATTTAAAGTGGCTTTTTAGACATTTCTGTTTACCAGATTACCTACAAAAATATTAAATATTGAAACAAATTTGGCATAAATTGTGGTGGAAACGGGCCTTTATTAAAAAATATTTATTTTTAAATTTTTTCAGTGTTTAGATGTTTGTCATCAGAAGATTTTTTTTCTACTTTTCGAGCATCAGTAAAGTTTGCAATGCAGCTACTGAGTTTTGGTATAAATTTGATCTTTAAAGATTTATGCCGAATAAAAATTAAATACTTTCTTTTACGAGTCTCAGAACAGTTAAACCTTCAAACTAGTGCAAAAGGGATTCAAAGAAATCCTCCGAAATGCGCCTATTATTATTTTATTCTCATTTATCTGAAACAGTAAGTGCATATCTTTCAAAAGTCCACAGAAATATCACATGTATTTTTATATTTTTTTATTTTAATTGTATATTTGTTTCTAGTTGTCATGTGACGTGAAGCTGGACCCTCGCCCTGAATACCATCGCTGCATTTTAACGTGGCATCACCAGGAGCCTCTGCCGTGGGCACAGAGCACAGGTACAGAAAAACATGGAACACGTGTGCAGCAGGTGTGTGCCGTTTAGTATTTCATCCTCCGTCTGGTAGATTACCATATTTATTATTGCACTACCTTTTATTTTATCTCCTAAATAAAAGCTGAAACTGAAGCTGAAGTTGTTGGCAAAGATCTTGTGCAATGAGTAGCACTTCAAATATGTATTATGAATGGCTCTCAGCTTCAAATACACCAAATTTTAGGTCATCACGTGTAAAATTGCCCGAGTTATAACCATTTGTGTAGTCTTTAAGGTCAGTTGACTGTGCAAACTATCTTGAATTGGGTTGTCAGTGATTACATTTTCTGCTTTCATTATTTGTTCAGTGCTCCATGAGATATTTTTTTTTAACAGACTAACACATAAATGTACACACTGAAACATGGGCAAAAACACTAATTGCTCGCCTTCGCTTCTCCTCCGTGGGTGAAAAATATAAGGTAGAGATGTTTATTTTAATTAGAAAATCAACTTTGTGAATGAGAAAATCATCATTATGTTTGACTTTTCTTGAATCAATGGGATATTAACTAAATATTTTATTTTTTGTGTCTATTTTTAACGTTGCATTTAAAGATATTCCAAACCTGATCTAAACTGGTATGTTTAAATAAAGTTTAAAACACTTCTGGAGTGTGTTTGGGTTGTTCACTTAAAGATTTGACGGCCATGTCAGTGTTATCATTTGTATTTACAAACCAAACTGCAGGACAGCCTAGAGAGACAGCCACCTACTGTCATCCACCTGGAAAGGGTCTTACTCTTCTGTCAACTTTAATGTGACCCGAACCGCAGTGTGTGACCCCCACAAATGTTACATCAAAACAACCGGCTCAGAACTGTAACGTGTGCTTTTACTTTTATTGGCATTTCAAGTTACCATGGTGATGTAATTTGCAAACAAAGACGCCAATTTTCCCATTTAAAAACACTGACAGAAACTTTTAATAGCCTCGACTGCCACATTGAGGTCACATGACCTAGAGTAAAGAATACTGGATTGGAGCCATTTTGGTTCAAGATGGCTGCTACAGCTACCTCAGAAAACACAAAATTGACTGTAACTCAGTCATTCTTTAAAATATTGAGCTGAAATTTGGTATCTGAGAGTGAGTTGTTAAACATTTCTGAGGGAAATCAAATATCTAAGATGGCTGCCTTTTCTAAAAGAGAAAAAAATACAATAACTTAGCTGTTTTAATAGATATTGAGCTGAAATTTAGTGTGGTGGAACATGAGAGTGAAGCACAATGCATTCTGAATTTAATCTAAAAATTCAAGATGGCCACCTTATTACAACTCAGCCATTTTTAGAGCTATTCAGCTGAAATTTGGTTTATTGTGAGCTGAGAACAATCCCTAATATACTCTGATTGTGAATGAAAAATACAAGATGGCCGCCTGAGCTAAAAAGAAAATATACTATAAATCAGCTATTTTGAGAGATATTAAGTTGAAATTTGGTGTGGTGGTAGCTGAGAGCAATGCTCAATAAATAATGAATTCAAATTTTAAAAATCCAAGATGGCCACCGTAGCTACATTTCAGTGTGTTTAACGCAGCTATTTTTACACATACAAAGCTGAAATTTAGTGTGGTTATAGCCGAGAACGTTCTCCATCACATACTGAATCCAAATCAAAAATCCAAGATGGCCACCATAGCTTAAAATAATAAATTACTATAACTATTGATTTTTTTGCCACGTGGAGCTGAAATTTGATGGTAGCTGAGAGCAAAGCACAACAGTACTGTCAAATCAAAATTTAAAATGGCTGCAACGTGGCAGTCCCCGTCGAAGTTTCTCCAGGAACTTTCTTATTATAAATTAGTAACAACCGTTTTCCCTGGCTTTAAGTCATTTCATATACAAACCGGATTCCAAAAAAGTTGGGACACTAAACAAATTGTGAATAAAAACTGAATGCAATGATGTGGAGATGGCAAATGTCAATATTTTATATGTAATATAACATAGATGACAGATCAAAAGTTTAATCTGAGTAAATGTAACATTTTAAAGGAAAAATATGTTGATTCAAAATTTCACAGTGTCAACAAATCCCAAAAAAGTTGGGACAAGCAGCAATAAGTGGCTGGAAAAAGGAAATTGAGCATATAACGAACAGCTGGAAGACCAATTAACACTAATTAGGTCAATTGACAACATGATTGGGTATAAAAAGAGCTTCTCAGGGTGTCAGTGTCTCTCAAAAGACAAGATAGTAAGAGGATCACCAATTCCACCATTGTTGCGCAGAAAGATAGTGCAGCAATACCAGAATGGTGTTACCCAGCGTAAAATAGCAAAGACTTTTAAGTTATCATCATCAACTGTGCATAACGTCATCAAAAGATTCAGATAATCTGAAACAATCGCTGTGCGTAAGGGTCAAGGCCGTAAAACTCTACTGGATACTCGTGATCTCCGGGCTCTTAAACGTCACTGCACCTCAAACAAGAATGCCACGTTCAAGGAAATAACAGAATGGGCTCAGGAATACTTCCAGAAAGCATTGTCAGTGAACACAATCCACCGTGCCATCCGCCGTTGCCAGCTGAAACTCTACAGTGCAAAGAGGAAGCCATTTCTAAGAAGCTCCACAAGCTCAGACGTTTGCACTGGGCCAGGGGTCATTTAAAATGGAGTGTGGCAAAATGGAAGACTGTTCTGTGGTCTGATGAGTCACGATTTGAAGTTCTTTATGGAACACTGGGACGCCATGTCATTCGGACCAGAGAGGACAAGGACAGCCCAAGTTGTTATCAACGCTCCGTTCAGAAGCCTGCATCACTGATGGTATGGGGTTGCATGAGCGCTTGTGGCATGGGCAGCTTGCATGTCTGGAAAGGCACCATTAATGCAGAGAACTATGTTCAGGTTCTAGAACAACATATGCTCCCATCTAGACGTCATCTCTTTCAGGGAAGACCCTTCATTTTTCAACACAATAATGCCAGACCACATTCTGCAGCAATCACAAGATCATGGCTACGTAGGAGAAGGATCCGGGTACTTGAAATGGCCAGCCTGCAGTCCAGATCTTTCACCTATAGAGAACATTTGGCGCATCATAAAGAGGAAGGTGTGACAAAGAAGGCCCAAGACGATTGAACAGTTAGAGGCCTGTATTAGACATGAATGGGAGAGCATTCCTATTTCTAAACTTGAGAAACTGGTCTCCTCTGTCCCCAGACGTCTGTTGAGTGTTGTAAGAAGAAGGGGGGATGCCCCACAGTGGTAAAAATGGACTTGTCCCAACTTTTTGGGATATGTTGACGCCATGAAATTTGGAAACAACAGATTTTTCCCTTAAAATGATACAATCTCTCAGTTTAAACTTTTGATATGTGATTTGTGTTCTATTCTGAATAAAATATTAGATGTTGGCACCTCCACATCATTGCATTCAGTTTTTAATTCACAATTTGTTTAGTGTCCCAACTTTTTTGGAATCCGGTTTGTACACCAAACAATATTTTACTGACGCACAGTTGATCAGAAGGGTCACCTTGTTTGAAAAAAAAAAAAAAAAACTCTGACATTTGTCGTTCCCTCCGTCTCCTCTCTGCCGCAGGAAACCAGGTGAGCAGCAGATTGATGAGTATGCGCAGCGCTAACGGGCTCCTGATGCTACCTCCAAAAACAGAGCAATACGTGGAGCTGCACAAGGGCGAGGTGGTCGACGTCATGGTCATCGGACGGCTATGATGTCATCAGATAGGGACGGCGAGACGGCGTCATATAGCGCGGGTTGGAATGGGTGGTTCACGGTGCATGTCCACATATCATTGACTATTCTGTAATATGCAACGGCACAGCTAGTTTTTATTGATTTGGATAACGTTGAGGTATAGTCAACATCTCGGTCACAACCTAGATACATATAAAAAAAAATAATAATTTAAAAAGATTCTAGTATTTCAAACAAAGAAAATATAACTTTTAAAGAAAAAAAATCTAATTATAAAAAGAGATTTATTCTGTAATATATTATTATGATTATTCTTATTATTATTATCATTATTCTTATTATTATCATTATTATATTAAGACAACTTTGTTCCTTTCATTGCAATTGCTTTGTGTGTTCAATGCTAGACCTTAACTATAGCAGTAGCATTTTAATAGACAGCTGTAGGTGCCTGCCAGGACGGTTTAAAAAAAAAAACTAAAGTATTATTTTCCTCATCTTTAGTGGGAAAAATGTTTTTTGAAAGTTAAGAAAATATTAGGGAAGGCTCCAGATTTCCCGGTGCTCGGTTAGGAGGAAGGAGGTGCACATGAAGACCACCTTCCTCCTCTGTGCGCCCGTCAAGGTGACACTTCTGATTTTCTCTCATTAGTATGCATCATAATGGCTTCACAAAGAGCTTTGCTTGTTGTTTATCTTGTGTCTTGTTTATGTGCGCAGTGCCAAAATGCCTGGGCAGGAAGGAGAGGTGTCACTGGGCGGGGGGGGCCCGGACTCTGAAGCTTCCTTATATTCATGGTGACCGGGCGAGCTGAGCCCGGGAGAAATAACCTTTTATTTCATCAACTATTTAAGTAAATATTCAAGAAAAGAAACAGCTTCTTTAAGTGCTGACAGCCTTTTTAACCTACTTCACACGAAATGTACAGAAAATAAAGATAAAAATAACCGTATTGTACAGATACATGTGACCAGCACTCCTGAGGAAATTATTAAGCAATGAGGAGACATTGATCAATGCTGTACTATAACATTTTCTGTAATGATATGAAACTGATGAAAGAGACTAAAATAATAAAAATCCTTGATCATTATGTAAAAAAATAATCTTGTTGCGTTTCCTTTATAATAAAACATATTATTGAAAAAGTGTTATTTTGGGTCATTAGTGCTAAAAGCTTTTGTTACATACGAAGAAGACAAGCAGAGTAACTGTTTAGATTCTGTCTGATTCACATATTTTCTGTCCAGAACATGGGAGTTTATAAAGAAAATGTTTACCGTATTTTTCAGAAAATAAGGTGCACATAAAATCCTTTATTTTCCTCAAAAATCGAAAGTGAGCCTTATAATCTGGTGCGCCTAATGTTAGGCCTGTCATTTCTAACCCGGGCCCAAAGCCCGGCCCCACCCAACCCAAATTTGGGAACGGCGGGGCCATAATAATGTGCTGGATGGGCGGACCGGGTCAGTGTCGGGCTTTTGATTGCTTCAGTGGATCAGCTGCAATCCAATTATATGGCAACATGGCTTGCCATACATCCACCAGCCGCACACGGCCATTTGACTATAAGCTGACCGGCCTTAAAAGAGGTAAAATAAAGTTCACTTAAGCTTCAGATGGAACTATACTTTCAAGAAGCGAGCCATCGCCCAAGTAGACGTTCATTCAGCCGCTGCACTCAGCAGATGCGCGTGGCCGCCGACCCAAACAGATGAGATCTCAAAGCAGACATGTCAGAGCAGGGTCCGTGTCTGAATAATGCAGAATGCAGGCAGAAGCAGGGATTTAATGAGCTTTGACGACCATGAAAGGACAAACACCCCCTCAGCTCCGATCTTCTACCCCTTTTATTCAGCCGTGCGCATTCGCCGACCGTTAATAACTATATAAATAATCAAAGCTTAATTAAAAATGTCGGGGGGGTTCGGACCTGTAATTACTGTTAATTCGTCGGGTGGGGTTCAGAAATGATGCCTACGGGCTGGGGCCAGATCAAATCGTTTGGGCCCAAATGCGACTCTACCTTATGTATTAATGCTGGTTGTGCTTTCTGACCTCGAACTGATTGTATGTGGTACATGGCGCTCAAAAATCTGTCAAAATGAACTTGTTTCACTTAATGCACCTTAAAGTCCAAAAAATACGGTTAGTCACTTAATGTTCCATTAGAAACATTACGCTCATGGAAATAACCATGAATACTCTGTAATTTTAGAACAATTAACCTAACATGAATGTTTTTTAGAATAGAATAAAAGTCCCCGAATGGTGGACCATGGACGCAAATGAAATCTTGTCTGGACCCTGATCAAGTGTTAAATTTCAATAGGCAGCGCAGCTTTTTCTGTATTTACAGTCATTCACTTTAAGTGGTGTAACATTTCCCACATTTATGGTAATTTAAGCATTGCAGCTTTTGTAGCATTTACAGTCATTTATTTAAGGCAGCGCAGCTTTTCTACACATTTAGGGTGGTTTGGTTTTGGCAGCACAGCTTAAAACGGTACCGAAGTCGTGTGTCATGACCGCTGCGCCAGCCATCCATATAAGCTGTACATATAATGGACCTTTGCTTCATTACCTGTAGATATTAGCTAAAATACTTGTAAAGCACAGGGAGAAGATGCAAACTTTAACAGAATGTTTTCATCTAAAATTCAAACATACAGGTTTTTCTCTCACGAGGGAGTTTTTCCTTTCCACTGTCGCCTTCACGCTTGCTCAGTGAGAGTTCTGCAATGGAGCAGTTTGCTCCTCAGATAAATATTGATAACTTATATTTTTATATATGAATGTTTCTGTTCATTGCCCTGAGATGACTTCTGTTGTGACTTGGCGCTATATAAATAAACTGAATTGAATTCAATTTTTTCTATAAGTCAGCTGTTCTGACCACCGTGTTGCTGTGCAGCACACACTGTTTAAAGTTAAAGTAAAGTAGAATGTGTTGAAACAAATTAAACCCCATGTTTTAATAAATGGTTGACAATAAATTGATATTTGAATATACGTTATGAAGCAAAACTTTAGTAATTTCTTCAACTTTTTCATCTAAAGGGTCAAACTTTTGGGATTCTTTTTAAATGGCCCTGACTAATATTTCTCCAGATTTACTGAAAGCTTTTGTTTTTCCTTTTTTAAAAATGCTTTTTACTGTGGAATATATATATATATATATATATATATATATATATATATATATATATATTTATATATATATATGTCTATATATATATAAGAGGAAAAAACTATTTTAAGCACCAACAAGGTGATTTCAGGTGCTGAAAGTCTGGCATAAAAATGATCGACTAAGGGCCGCTGCATCTCTCAGTTCAGATTTGGGTCACATAATAGTTTTAGACAGCCAAAGTCCAAATAAAATTTTTGAAAGACATGCAGAAAGTCTGGAGAACTACTGATCAAGAGCATTTTTGAAAGGCTACAAGAAAGCAAGGCTCCGTGGAAGCAAATTTAAAACAAAAAAAGAGTAGCAAAATAGTAGTACCATATTTTTCAGACTAAGGTGCATTAAGTGAAACAAAACAGATAAGTCAAACTTTATTCAACTCATTCGCAATAACTCAACATTGTTCAGTTGTACTCCATAAAATTGATTAGAGGTCAGTAAGCACAACTAGAATTAATACACAAGGCACACTGGATTCTAAGGCTCACTGTCAATTTTTGAGAAAATTAAAGGATTTTAAGTGCACCTTGTAGTCTGAAAAATACGGTAAAGCAATTTTCCATAAGCAAAATGTTTCAAACTATTTTTCTATAGCTGTGTATTTGACCTTTTATGAAAGAATTGTATTTTCGCTGCTGCTGCTTTAGATGAAGAGCAATAATCTGCTGCATTGGAAACAATAAGAGGTTTTCACTGTCTCCGTCTCTCCAGAAAGGTAAGTGCTTAAGATTCAAGAGCATTGAAGAAATGAGTCTCACAAGGAAAAGAGGTTAAAAGCAAAGGTGTCAGAAAAGATTAACCTAATAGGAAACGCAATGAGGGGAAAAAGGCAGCTCAGGGCTTTAGTGAAGGGTTTCAGGGAGGCAGCATGAGATTAGACAGTTTCTGTTCTCTGCAAGATGAAATGACAGCAGATCCCATTAGTTGGAGATGATTAATGGTGCTGTGCCAAGAAAGTAGACATTCATTTATGCAAACGTGTTTAAAAAAAGTGCTAAATGGAAGGGGGAAAGTGTGAAGCTGATTGTAGAAAAATAGCATATTCTTCATACCCTCAAGTGCAGTAAGTGTGTTTATTTATTAGAGCATGAGTGCCTAATTTCCTTGAATATACTGAGCCAGTTAAGGCAATTGAGATAAAAAGGCAAATGGGATGATTAGTGAAAAGTTAAAACCCGCCTGAAGAAAGCAAAGTGGAAATGATCATTTGCATTTATATTGTGTGTAAATTATGTGAAACACCAGGAACGCTTGCCAGTTGTGGGGATTTATTCTGCTTTAACAAGATTTTCTTTATATTTTGCAGTCGTGGTGATCAAAAAGTTCAAACTTTAACTGATCAGCTGTCAAGATATTGTTAGCATTTCTTTTAACATTAATAAAATATTTGCTTATTTTGTTATAGAATCAGAACACTTGTAGAGTTGGTTCTCTGTCAGTTTTGGGGATTTTTTAAATTTAAACCTTAAAGATAGTACTTATTTATTTATTTGTTTTAACAGGAAACTGCTGGTAATAAAATATCTGGTCTTCATCTGGACTTTAATAAAATCTGATCACAATCTGTTGCTCTGAGATAAAACAGGAGAGCCATTAGAGATTTATATATGAAAATAGAAATTTTGTAGGCAAGTTTAAAAGTACAAGATGTTGATTTATAGAGGTTAACACTGGAAAATGTAACAGTGAAGTATAAAACAATCAGGTTTCTTTGGCTCCTCTTGGTGTTCATAAAGTGATCTGCAAGGTTTTATAGAACCTGAAAGAAATGAAATGATCCAGTCTATTTTAAGTCACGTTGTTCTGCTTTTTATAGACAGTGCGTTAAATATAAAACATCTAAAACCTTTAACGAAGCCATAATAAAGGTTAATTCATCATAGTTTTAATTCCTCGATTAGTCTTGATGATAAAACCGTTTCAATTAGATCACCTCTGATTCAGGGAATTAGCAATAAAAGATCATTCTGTTGTGGCAGAAAGGTTAGAACCATCATCGCATAACTTTTGTATAAAATGCCCAGAGCTCCAGAATGAAGAGAGTACTAAACTTTAAACTTGCATAAACAAGTGAGAAGCATTTTTTTAATCTAAACAAAATTACGTCAGGAATTTTTTTACTTTCTGAACACGTACTGGAAAAACAAGTTAACGAACAAAGCAGGGACAAAAGAATGTGATGTAATAAGAATAATCAAACAATTTGAGTTTCTAAATGTCATATTGATGCTCAGAAGCCTGAACTCCAGATACTGTAGACTGTATAACAACAAAAGCACTTACTTTACCTGTCACTGGCCATAATGTTATGACTGATTATGAAGATCATATTAGTACAGTCACAACACTGTTGTTTAAAATTTGACTAAAAAGTTCACAAACACATAATATTCATAAACAGTTTACATAAAAAAAACTGTTTTCCCGACTTGTCAATGAAGCATTTTGATGTCTCCTCAGAAAATACTAATCTTATGTATCAGCCTCAGTGAAAATATTGTTATTTTTGTGTTAACAATAGCCAGAATTTGTTTAATATTTTCTAAATTTATCACCACTGTTAGTCCATCCATCCATCCATTATCTTTACCCGTTTATTCCATTTTGGGTCACGGGGGTCACTGGTGCCCATGTCCAGCAATCACTGTGCGAGGGGCGGGGTACACCCTGGACGGGTCGCAAGTCCATCACAGGGACACATAGAGACAAACGAGACAAACAACCATTCACTCTCTCACTCACACCTAGGGACAATTTAGAGTTACCAATCAGCCTAACATGCATGTTTTTGGACTGTGGGAGGAAACCGGAGTACCCGGAGAAAACCCACGCATGCACGAAGAGAACATGCAAACTCCACCCAGAAAGGCCCCTGGACCGGGGTTTGAACCAAGGACCTGCTCGCTGAGAGGCAGCAGCTCTACCAGTTGCGCCACCGTGCTGCCCACCACTGTTAGTTATTTTGAAAATTTATAATTTAATACACCGTTTCAGTGTATATTTTTGATGTGTAAAAATTATTTTTAATCTTTTGTTTGTTTGCATAGTTTGATTTTGCCCATTATGGTTGGAATTTAGGTCACTGTGTGAAATACTTTATATTTAAGTCAAGTCTACCTTTATTTATTTTGCATACAACAACCTAATATTTTTTCAAAAAATAAAAAGACAATTTTATTTGAAAATCCTTTTAAAAAAACATGCACACTGATATATCATGATGAACAAAACTATTATTTTAAAAATGATTAATAATGAATTTGTATATTAAGATGAGTCAAAGCCTACATTAGCAATATATTACAAATTAAATTATTTATAATATCATAGTGCAATTTTCTATGGGTAGTTATGTTTATTATATTAGTAAAGTATTCAGTATATTATATAGTTAATGTGAAGATTTATTTATGTTTACGACAGTGTCGTAATGTCGCTGACGGAAAGGTGGCGCTGTTGAGCCGCACTGTTGCCAGGGAAACGACTCAAAACAACCGGTGGCGCAGCAGTTCACCAACAACAGCCACAAGTGTCCCGACTCTGCGCTCGGACAAAACTCTGCTACAGCGGCTACACGCGTTAACACCGGGGCAGAGATTTTTCTTTCGTAATCGTGTTAAATTCGCACAAGTTCTCAAAGCAACAAGCCCCTCTTTGTAAAACTCGGACTTCTGGCTGGTTTTGAAGCGGTGAGTAGTCGCTTTCTGTAACGGGACAGCTACGGATCAGCTAGCGGTCCGACGCAGCTAAGCTAAGTCTTTTTAGCTAAACTAAGAGTCACGCGCTCATGCTAAGCATCAATAATACATGTAAAACCAAAACCGTGCATTAAAAAAAATCAAACTCGTTATTTGGAGAGTGCCGTTTGCAATTACGTCTTACATATTTGTAAATGTCTCAAAACGGTATTAATATTAAATCTACACGACTGAGATATTTATTTTACATCGACTCCAGATTAACCAGCCGTTTGTTGCTTGGGCTAATTTAAAACGAGAATTTTACAACAAGTGCTTTTTTTTTTTTAACACAAGTTTTGGGGACATTTTTTAAATGACACTTGGAGAAACTTATAGAACATCACTGATGAAAAGACTATTGCACTTAAATTACTTCACATTAACAGGATGCCTTTTTTTTTTATTTTGGACCTTTCTGTGTTTTTAACAACCACCCTTTTTATTTTACCAGGAAGAAATCCATTGAGATTATTAATCTCTTTTACAAGGAAGTCCTGAGAAATGTAGCATTTCAAAATGTCTTACTTTTCACAGGAATGCTTTATAATCAGCTGCATAATTTCAATTTATAGTACATTTAAGTCAAATAGGAAAACAGTGAGATTAATAATTCAGGAAAACATATAAAAATATTGCTTATTAAAATGTTTGTCTCTCGTGCCAAATCTGCTTAAAAAGTATTTATTTAAAAAGTATTTGCAGTTAGTTCTCAACCATTGATGTTTTTGGTTCTGTTTTCTTTTCATATAATATTGAGTCTTCTTTGTGATGCTGCAGATTTCTGTAACTCACTTCACAAAAGTGGAGCCCAACCTTTTTGTTTGTTTGGGTTAGTGTGTTGTTTGCACGTCCGTTTTATTTCATTCTTCTAACCAGGCACATCGCTCCTCTCCCAGCATCCTTCCAGGTCCTGCCTTGGCCGTGTAGAGTAGATCCTGAGATCCCAAGCTTAATTAAGCCCACGGGAACAGATGGTCTGCTGGCAGCCTGTGCTGTTTCTCAGCAGTACCCTGCCTCACTAAACACAGCTAAATGTTTCTGCAGAGGAGAGGTTTAAAAGGCGTGGAGGTAGACGTGCCAGACATGATTAGCTGCAGAGAGTTGGTATGAGAGGGTAAGGGCCGCCATTTAATTGTAGAGGACATTGACTTTGATTCAGGGGCGCCTTTCAAAGACAAAGATGTTGTTTTTTTTATGTTTTGTCTACTTTGATATATTAACAGTTGCAACAAATGTGGTATAATACAGGTAATTATCTTTGAAGACTGCAAACAGTCTTTTGGCAGGCCTATAATTTATTTTGGCTTTAATGAGATGGTGAAAAAGAGGCACACCAACCAGCATTTAGTATTATTATAACTGTGCACAAACGTTTGTCACAAGTTATAGATTTAGGGTTTTGTTTCTTCAAACTGACCAAGCAAATGCGTCACATCAGCACGTCTCAGTCATATTACCAAATCCAGATTAGTGCTTGTAGCTTCCTTAAAAATAGATTTTAATCTACAATAGTAACAACATTGGTCAGTTAGGTAGTAAATGAAAGTAGTGTGTCACTTTATTATCATTTTGAATACGTTGCAATATGCTCAAATCTAGTCAAAGTTTATTTCTGTCACACATTTAAAAACAATTAAATTTACCAAAGTGATGTTAAAGATATAAAATAATTATGTTTATAATTGCAACATCAGTAATAAATATGTATTACAGTAAAGAATAAAGCATAATTTATTAGAACAGAATTTTGAATAAATAAATAAACCATGCTTGTAAAATAAAAGCCCTAACCACATTATACTAAAAAAAAAAAAAAAACAATAGTCTTTCTTTCTTTGTTTTCATCAATATAAGCAGTTAGCTACAGGTGGATATGTTGAACAGGCTGTTCTGTTGGACAGGTGTGCTCAGTCCAGGGGATTTAAGGTGACTGAGGCCAGAAGGCTCTCTGCGTTAAGAATTAGATTAGTGCCTTGTTAGATGAGACCAGGTAGGGGCAAAAGTTGGTCCTGACCCAACGTAACAAAGAAATGTGCTTACTTGAAAGTATAAACTATAATTTAAAAGAAAGTGGTGTACTTTCACAAAAATAATCCGAGACAATGTTTAGCTTTAGTTTTATTTGAACTATTTATCACGTTGTTGCTGCCAAATATTTCCTAAAAATACTTTCTACTTCAGATTTTGAATTCTCAAGAGTGTTCACGCTGTTAACTTTGAACAGGAGAAAACATGTTGTTTAATATTTTATCAATTTATTGTAAATCCTTTTTCATTCTCTGTTTGTATTTCAGGCTGAGCGGTGACAGAAAGAAGACAAAGAACTTCATCCTTCAATGGAGTTCTTTGACCCTGAGCTGATTGTTTCCACCAGCAGTTTCTCTTAATACGCTGGCAGATTTAGGGAAATCCTGGGGTGGTTTGAGCTGTATGCAGCTGCAACAGGGATGATTACATCCCATATGAACGGTTATGTGCAAGAGGCCTCTGGTCAGGCCATGAGCTACAGAGAGAGAGCTGTGGACTGTCCAGGTCAGGAGAGTAGCCTCGTTAAATCCCCTCAGTGCAGCGCCCACATGGAGAGGATCCAGCTTTACCAAGAAGAAATGAGGAAGAGGAGAGAGGAGGACAAGGGAAAGCATGACATTGATCCTAATGCTTCGCTCAGGCTCAAGAAGTTGTCACAGAACCCAATGGTTGGCATCGACAATCCCACCTTCGATGGGAAGGAAAAGGTTACTAATGACACAACCTGCCCGGATCCTGTAGTGGGTGAGTTAAAGGGAGGGAGGGAGTGTTGGAAGACCGTTACGTGGGTCAGAGGTTGAGTGGAGGAAGGAAAGTTTGAAAGAGGAGGAGCAACTTAGACCTCAGGGAAGAACAGAGAATTGTGAGGTTTTACAGAAAGAAATCAAAACAAAAGAAGTTAAAACAATGTGACTACTGAAGGGGCAGAGCAGAGGTCAGTGTGGAGGGGGAACGTGGGTTTTACAGGCTGGGATATTTTCAGCTCAACACAAAGTATTGATTGTCCCATTAAAAAAAAGACTTTGTGGAAGCTAATAAAATGAGTCACATTGTAGGAGCACTTTTGGGGTTCCTAAGAAAACAGATGTTTATTTATATGTTTTGGATGTAGTACACTTGGTATTCACTTTTTTCTTCCTATAAGTGCTCCTATAGTTTGACTGCTAGAAACAAAATGCACTAATGTCAGCATCTCTAATAATCTTCTGTAATTATCTTCTATAATCTTCTCTATGCTTGCTATAAGCAACTTTATATTTAAAGGCACCACTATCACCAAAGAACTGCTACATATATATATATATATATATATATATATATATATATATACTCATATACATACAGTGCCTTGCGAAAGTATTCGGCCCCCTTGAACTTTTCAACTTTTTGCCACATTTCAGGCTTCAAATATAAAGATATAAAATTTTAATTTTTTGTGAAGAATCAACAACAAATGGGACACAATCATGAAGTGGAATGACATTTATTGGATGTGTCAAACTTTTTTAACAAATAAAAAACTGAAAAGTGGGGCGTGCAATATTATTCAGCCCCCTTGCGTTAATACTTTGTTCCAGCTGCAAGTCTCTTGGGGTTTGTCTCTATCAGTTTTACACATGGACAGACTGAAATTCTTGCCCATTCTTCTTTGCAAAACAGCTCGAGCTCAGTGAGGTTGGATGGAGAGCGTTTGTGAACAGCAGTCTTCAGCTCTTTCCACAGATTCTCGATTGGATTCAGATCTGGACTTTGACTTGGCCGTTCCAACACCTGGATACGTTTATTTGTGAACCATTCCATTGTAGATTTGGCTTTATGTTTTGGATCATTGTCTTGTTGGAAGATAAATCTCCGTCCCAGTCTCAGGTCTCTTGCAGACTCAAACAGGTTTTCTTCCAGAATGGTCCTGTATTTGGCCCCATCCATCTTCCCATCAATTCTGACCATCTTCCCTGTCCCTGCTGACAAAAAGCAGGCCCAAACCATGATGCTGCCACCACCATGTTTGACAGTGGGGATGGCGTGTTCAGGATGATGAGCTGTGTTTCTTTTACGCCAAACATATCGTTTTGCATTGTGGCCAAACAGTTGGATTTTGGTTTCATGTGACCAGAGCACCTTCTTCCACATGTTTGGTGTGTCTCCCAGGTGCTTGTGGCAAACTTTAAACAACACTTTTTATGGATATCTTTGAGAAATGGCTTTCTTCTTGCCACTCTCCTATAAAGGACAGATTTGTGCAGTGTACAACTGATTGTTGTCCTACGGACAGACTCTCCCACCTCAGCTGTAGATCTCTGCAGTTCATCCAGAGTGATCATGGACCTCTTGGCTGCATCTCTGATCAGTCTTCTCCTTGTTCGAGATGAAAGTTTAGAGGGACGGCCAGGTCTTGGTACATTTGCAGTGGTCTGATACTCCTTCCATTTCAATATGATTGCTTGCACAGTGCTCCTTGGGATGTTTAAAGCTTGGGAAATCTTTTTGTATCCAAATCCGGCTTTAAACTTCTCCACAACAGTATCTTGGACCTGCCTGGTGTGTTCCTTGGTCTTCATGATGCTCTCTGCGCTTTGAACAGAACCCTGAGACTATCACAGAGCAGGTGCATTTATACGGAGACTTGATTACACACAGGTGGATTCTATTTATCATGATCAGTCATTTGGGACAACATTGGATCATTCATAGATCCTCACTGAACTTGTGGAGTGAGTTTGCTGCACTGACAGTAAAGGGGCCGAATAATATTACACGCCCCACTTTTCAGTTTTTTATTTGTTAAAAAAGTTTGACACGTCCAATAAATTTCATTCCACTTCATGATTGTGTCCCACTTGTTGTTGATTCTTCACAAAAAAATTTAATTTTATATCTTTATGTTTGAAGCCTGAAATGTGGCAAAAGGTTGAAAAGTTCAAGGGGGCCGAATACTTTCGCGAGGCACTGTATATTGTTGGTTTTAAGTTAAATTTACAACATTTCAAACAGCTAAATATTTGGCTAATAAATAAGTTATCTGATCATCTGACCATCTAATCACAAGCAGAACTGGTTTGTTCTACTTTGGAGTAAGCTGTTGGAGGAAGAATCAGTTTTGTTGTGTGTTTCCTTGACTGATGAAGCCTTCCGGATCAAAGGCGAAACGTTTCAGCAAAAGAAAAAACTGTCCAGATGACCTGACTGAAAAATGTTGGATTTTATACCTGGATTATTGAGCATGGACTTTGTTGTCTGATAAGTTGTTAAACACTATAAAGATTATGAAGTAATGTAAATTCCCATATTATCATTTTACTTTAAGACTATATAAAATTAATTATTTAAAACATATTTTTTACTTTAGACCATAATAAATCCAAACTAGACACAATGCTGAAACTTTAAGCAAACATATATTTCTTTTTTCTCCTTTGGCTTTTTATAAAGTTATTTTTGAGACAACACCTTTCCTCAGAAGGTTTTTAATTTAGGCCCTGATCATTTTTCATTGCTTTGTTCCTTAATCAAAAATAATTTTGGACACAGTTCTTCTGTATAAATATATTTGGTTTAGGTTGTAGTAGTAATAGGCAAAAATCTGACAAAATTAGGCTGTAAAAACAGCTTTAAAAATTAAATATTTATTGATTATGTGCTTGTTTTCCTAAGCATTGCCTTTTTTTCTGCCTGCTTGTTTGTCAGAACTGGAGGAATTATTGCAGGCTCTGAAATGGATGCAGAACTGTTTGCATGATGCTCAGAGCCAGCAGGATGTGGAGCTGATAATGCAGCTCCTAGCCAAGGAGGAATTCAGAAAAGCCTACATGATCTACTCAGCTGTGTCCCAGCAGTTGAACCGAGCCAGTCCCACTTCGCCCCTCACATCACAAGCACAGGACCTCTGCCAGCAGGTACACTTGGGTTGCAGAGTTTTTCATTTATTTCATCGAGTCTGCACTGTTTGCGTGTCTGTCAGGAATCATTAACTTTTGGAGTCAACCCAATTAAGATGGTTGCCACAGTCAACTAACTTTAAAATTCACCAAAAAAATGGCTATAGCTCTGTCGATTTTACAGATAATGACCTAAAATTTGCTGTGGTAGAACCTGAGAGTCATTCATAACACACACTTTGAGCATTACACTGTGCAATATATCTTTGCGTAAAACTTTGGCACTAACTGTCAGAAACACTCTGTCCATGTTCGAAACTGAGAAAGTAATCATTGGGTGTTCATCTACAACTTATTATTGTTTCAAATCAATCAGAGGCAAGATGGCCGCCACAGCATATCAACTTTAGCCATCAGGAAAATTAGCATAACATAGTCAGACTTACAGATGTAGAGCTAAAGTTTGATGCGGTGATAGCTGAGTCATCTTAAGCACATACTTCGACTAACGCATTTAACAAAACCTCAGCGTTACGTTACATCACACATAACATCATTTACAAGATCTGAACAAGACTGATGTAACTCCATACCTTCCTCATCATAAGATGTCTTTGACCAGAACTCAAGCATGAACGGTAACGGGTGCATTCTTTCAAGCACTAGGTTAGGTTAGGTTTATTTGTCATGTGCAAAATCAACACAAGGTCAACAATGCAATGAAATAATATATCGATAAACTCATCAAGAGAGCTGGCTCATTTCTGGAAGTGGACCTGCAGTCTCTGACAGAGGTGTCTGAGCAGAAGATGCTGAGGAAACTGCTCCAGAGCCTGAACAACACGTCACACCCCCTGCATGACACACTGGACTCTTACCGCAGCACCTTCAGTCGTAGACTGAGACCATAGAGGTGCTCCACAGAACAACACAGGAAGTCTTTCCTCCCTGTGGCTATTAAGCTTTTCAACTCCTCCCCCTTTATGCACAAAGGACATAATTTATATTTATTTATATTTAAAGGAATAAACTCTTTAATGTTTCTGTCCACACCTGTTTAGAACTTAATTGTTGGCATTTTTATATTCTCTGTTATTTTTATATCTTGTGATTCTTGTGTATGTTCCTTTGTACTGAAACTCTGGCACAATAATTTCCTGTGGTATCAATAAAGTTCTATCTTATCTTATCTTAAATGCTTAGGACGAGAAGAACCGTCTCGACTTGTCAAAAAAAAGAAAACAACAAGAAATATCAAAGCATGCAGCAAAAAAACTAATAAAACATGTTAAAATTACCACTAATATACTAAAAAACATGTTAAAATTACCACTAACATACTAAAAAACATGTTAAAATTATCACTAATATACTAAAAAACATGTTAAAATTACCACTAACATACTAAAAACATGTTAAAAAAATACTACTAAAATACTAAAAAAAAACAAGGTGCCCAAGAACTACTCGGTCTGTACATTTATCCTAAAGCTAATGTCCACAGCACCGAGACTCTCAGTCAGATCAAACAGACGTGACTAGGCCTAAAGTATTCAACTGATTATAATTACTGATTTTATTTTTAACCATGTCACAAAATCAGTTTGTGCCTCAGAAGACGAGCTGTGGTCTCCACAGAGAAGGCTGTTTGTTCACTCTGTTATAAATTTGTTTGCTCCGTTATCACCAGTTAACAGTGTGGCTTTTGAATATATTTTAGAAGCTCCTTTGTAAGCAAAGCAACTGGGTGAACTCAACGAAGCATCAAAAATTGGCTTGAGGCAAAAATGTATTTAATGCAAAACAAAACAAAAAAACGTGAATAATTACGACATGTAAATTATCTTGTCGTTAACAAGGTGAGTGAAAACAAACATGAAATATCCGTGAGCTCCAGGCCACAAATAGAAATTAAAGAGCTGGCAAAGAAAGGAAGTGGCAGTAAGACAAGATTAAGAAACCAGTAATAAATATGTCTGCATCAGTGCAGAAATAAAAGAAAACAATAAAAGTTAGAACAATGATTACTGAATAGACATAGCAAAGGGCGGTAGAGGAGGAGGGAGATGACGTTCTTGGGTTATCAGGTGGGATTCCTACTGATATTTTCAATAATCAAAATCTTTGATATGTTCTTAGTTTGTAATAGACCTGTCGCGATAAACATTAAATCAATTAATCGCATGATAAATTAAAACGAGGTCGATCATTTTCATTTATTGCTTTATTGTTTCTTTGTCTCTCTCTTTCTACTGAAGACACTGGATGACAAAAGGCTCAAGTCAAGTCAAGTCAAGTCATATTTATTTATAGAGCACAATTTAAAACAGATAGACTGTTATCAAAGTGCTCAAGTCTGGTGCTCTTCACTGACCCCTCCCTTTCTCATTTTCTTAGCGTAAGGGGGGAGTGAACTATCGCGTCAGGTAGCCAAGGCATCGCCTTGTACCTCTGCAGCATTAGAGCCCTGTGAGGAGTTAGCAAGCTAAAGAAACATTATTTGATATTGGGGGGTGGGGGGGAAGTGAAGTGGTAAAGTCGAACGCAACAGCAGCCGTGTGGGAGCACTTCGGATTCAAACTAAATGACCGAGGCGAACCGCTGAACCTTTGTGAGCCGGTATGTCGCATTTGTCATAAAACGGTAACAACTAAGAGCAGCAGTACAACGCACCTGCACCTAAAGCACAATCATCCAAAGCAGTTTTCCCAGCTGGGAAAAATAAATAAATACAACTGGTGGGCCGTCTCCGTCTTCAAGTTCCCAACAGTCCACCATCACTGGAGCATTAATCGACAGAGAGCGTACAAAAAGAACAGTGCTGCAAAATGGTGCGTGCTCACAGACAGCGTAGTTCGTTTAATCACTAAAGAGATGCTGCCCTTTAATGTTGTTGAAAAGCATCTGCTCTTATTTATTTAAACGGAGTGTGCTTTTGTTAGTTTGCACTTTTTTTATATATAAAACTGGCAGTTTTGCTCATCTTTATATTAAACTAATGATTTTTATTTTTTGAAGGGCAATTTAGTTTACAGACTTCATAATCTGTGCTGTTTTGGTTGAAAGGATTTTTTATTTCCATTTTGTTTTTTTGTTGTATTTAGTTTTTATTCGAGTGCATTTTTTGTTAACGGAGACTGAGAGCCCATTTTATTTTTGTTTTTGTTTATTTTCCGGTTCCAGTGTGAAGTGTTCTTTTGAAATTAAAGTTTATTGATTTTTGAGAGGATGTACTTGCATTATTATGTCATTATCATTACATTAGTTTAAAACGGTCTCCAAACAATATTATCGTTTATTGCAATAATTTCTGAGCCCGTTAATCGCCCAGCAAAATGTGTTACCGTGACAGGCCTAGGTTGTAAAAATGATTAAAAACATATCAGATTTTTTTATTTTCCCATCAGTTTTTCTTGCTCGAGTAACAGTTTGGTGGCTCCTGCAGAGCTTCCATTTAGAAAGTGACAGAAAGCCAGAAACCACAGCAGGGAATGTGTCATACCTGACTTCCTTGTTTAATAAACACCAGATTGTCTTTGCTGAAGCAAAGCAGCTGTAATTGTCTTGACTTGTGAAGTGAGCCGCTGCATGTCAAATATTCAATAGCAGCCTGAACCACAGGCCAGATCATGTAGAAAGACAGAAATAGTGATTTGAGTTGCCACAAGTAATGTAGAAGCTCCTTTACACCAACAAGGCACCAAATTAGGATTAGTGTCACCTTCTCATGAGAGTAGTGACTCTAAGCAGCAGTTAGACTGGTGCAGTGTAAGTTTTAGCTGATGGCTAAATGTTTAAGAGGCTAAATTGTTTTGACCACATAAGCTGTGATACACACTGTTTATTCTTTCCAGGACTGCATGCAGCCGTGTAACAGAACTGTTGTTCTCAATCGTGACTGGATGTTTTAAAGTTAAAGAAGCTGGATCTCATGATCTGTTTCTATCACACACAGACAGCACATTATTATCTTTCTGCAAAAAGAGTAACTCATTGTATGCACACATAACAACTGGAACGTTTGTGCTACAAGGCACGGATGGTTTATTTAACCTTTCATAAGAACATTTAAAAAAAAAAATTTTTTTTTCAAAGTCATATTTTCACCATGTTATTCATACATTTATAAATGTTATAGATTCAAACTAAATATTTTATTTACAAGCTAAATATTTAGTTTAAAAACTAAATACATAACTTGCAAGTTAAATATTTAGCTCCAGACTGAATATTTAGTTTACAAACTAAATGTTTATGTCTAAGATAATTTTTTAATTTACAAACTAAATATTTCACTTGCAAGTTAAATATTTAGTTAGTGAACTAAGCATTTAGTTGTTAATTAAATGTTTATTTGCAAACTAAATATGTATTGTCCAAGATGAATATTTCATTTCCAAACTAAACATTTAATATCAAAGCCAAACATTTAATTCCTTAACTAAATATTTAATTTGCTAACTAAATATTTAGCTCGGATCTAAATATTTATTTTTCAAACTAAACATTTAATTTCCTAAGTAAATATTTAATTTGCTAACTAAATATTTTGGTTTGACATAAATATTTAGCTTGCTAGCTAAATATTTAGATTGCTAGCTAAATATTTAACTTGCAAGTTAAATATTTAGTTTGTAAATTAAACATTTAACTTGGACATAAACATTTAGTTTGTAAACTAAATATTTAGCTTGTAGATTAAATATTTAGTTTGGAACTATGACATTTATAAATGTATGAATAACATGGTGAAATATGTCTTTGAAAAAAAACTATTGTTTTTTTCTTATGAAAGGCTAAATCAACCTAAATATTGCTGTTAATTTTTGACTGTGTAACTTTACAAACGGCACACCATACACTGACCATTGTGTAAACTAATCTCCCCGCAGCCCTCTGTGCTGCAGGATGAAGGCCAGGATCTGGGCAGCCAGAAAAAGAAACTGCAGGAGCTTACAGCAGCATGGGCGGAGGTGCAGCGCTGCTTGGTGGGGAAGGGAAAGTGCATCACCTTGTTAGCGAGAGCTTTGATAAGTGTAATGGATGAGCTAAGCCCTGAACAAGAGATGAAGAGGCAGGAGAGCAAGAAACAAAAAACAAAAGATTGAAAATAAAATTAACAGCAACAAGAAGAGGGGGATAAACAGGAACAGGGTGTACAGGCTCCAACAAAAGTATTGCTCAGAAAGGAGCTTTGCTACTTTGATCCTTGAGAAAGGCAGCATTTATGCATAAACACACACACACACATAGTGACATTTTTTTTCTAAAGTGTAGTCTGGCACTGAGTGCAACTGGAATGTGGAAATTCTGTGAATTACTTGAGAGTAGCCAAGTGAACAATGGGTGACAGTCCAACAAATGTTTTCTCAAATCTGTCACACACTACAAACTTATTTCTTACGAAAACAACTTTTTTCTTTTTTTAAATGAGCCACCGTCATTAATTAGTAGAAACGGGTTAAGGTTTTAAATGTTGAGGTTGTATTGATGAAATGAAAAGTAGTTACCCAGACCAGGCATTCAAAACGAGGTAAGAAACATTGCTGGCCTCGAACAGTCCTAACTGGAGGCTATTTCAAAGTTTTGGTGTGTTTTATTTGAAAATGATGTACTTTCATATCCGCAGGTCCATATGTAAAAAATAATTCCTGAAATCAAAAAAGGAGTAAAAGCCATAAATGTTGTAATATTCTGATTTTACCAGTATATATATTACATTTGAAAATTTTTATTTAATTTAACTCCAAAGAAAAAACATGTTAAAAATCCATGAATATATTGATTCCTAGCTTTCATTTTATTGTCTGTCTTAATAAATGGCAGTGAGATTAAGTAGACCTAGATTAAAGTCGTAAACTGAAACTCTGAGTTGTTCTGGCATGCAGTTTTAGAGGTTTCAGTGGCAGATTTATCTCATCGTGTTGTTTCTCTGTTTAGGTTCAGAGGATTCTCCAGTCGAGCCATCAGAAGGAGGGTTTGGAGCTCAGTGTGCTGCTCACCAGTCCCCATCTGCAGGTCAGAGATCAGCTTTCCTGCTGCGACCTTTTCTTAACCAACAATATGATAAGGCCACAAGCTTGCAGAGCCTTGCAGCCAACTCATTTATTTAGTTATTATTCTAATAATTAGACCACTGGAAATCTAATTAATGTTCTACACAACTGCCTCCAAAAGGCTAATTGTTTTTCTTGCACCTTCCCCTGGGAAGTCAAAGGTCAAGGTTTTGCATAATAATGGTTTGATGGGGGAAAGCAGCTGCAAGTTTTCTGTCTCTGACGTCCTTCTATGTATCCGATAAAAACCTGCTCTGGGACACTTACAGCAGATAATTGTTTTGTAAAGTAAATCCTTTAATTGAGGTTATTTTATCAATCCCTGTAAGGGGTCATTTAAAACGGTGGTCTCAGAAAAGGCAGGCTTTGTAAATGAGATTGTGATATTTGCTCATTTCTCTTATTGATAAAAAAAACAATAATTGGAATTTTTGAAGCAGAGTTATTGGTTTCTTGTAGAATATATATTTTTAAAACGACTGATAGTTTTATTATAAAGTAGGTTACTAATAGCTTATAAAATAGTCAAATTGAGCCATTCTTGCACATTCAAACATGCACACGTGGAGGGATCAGAATAGGTTGAAAGATGTGTATTTCATTTGCAAACCCTTGAAATAGGCGTACTGTAAATGTTCATCTTTAGTTGTCGATAATTTCTCACTATCAAACTTGTGATGTAAGAATCTAAAGACTGGATTTACTTCTTTTTGTGTGAACTCGTCAGGACGTGCCTGCTGTTGCGTTTCAGTGGTTCCGATTGGCTGTAACCTGTTCCTTAATATTCTCACAGTCTGGTTCTAAAAGCTTCTGTTGGAAAAATGAGACAAATAAATGCACGTTTGTTAGTGGTGATACTTGCTCTGTGTTGTCTTCATTTTTTTATGGCTGTTTCCCACGGGAAGGCAAGTCACAGCCAGTTGTCCGTCCAGTAGGGTTGGGGAAAAAGCCTTTGATTTGAAGTAACTTTACTTCTATGTAGTGGGTTGTCCGTTTAGCGTTTATTTCTGTCAGCATGAAAGAATCAGACAAACGTAAACTCCATTTATTTGCATCTCTACCCATGTTGGTTTAGGCATTGTTAGTGAAAGTGGAGACACATTGTTAGATTGCAATCATCCATTAGTGTATGGAACACCAAAATGCTCAAAATTAAATAAATAAATAAAGCATTATGAAATAAGTGTCTAAGCTCATTATAAAAATGATTCATTTTTATTCTTTTATTTTATAATGGTGTTTTTTGTAACGGCTTATTTAGTTCACAATGCCATTTTTCAGCAGAATGACTTCAGCTGTCAATCAACGTGAGTGGGTTGGACCTTCACGCCCACTGGCTGATCCTTCACATCCATCAGTTTTCCTGAATACCTGCTCACTGGTACAGCTAGCATAGCAGCTAACATAGCAGCTAGCAGCAACTTGCCAGGTCAACAGTCACGAATTATGACAGAGTTGCAGGAACTTCGTTCAGCTCAGGTAACTTTAGCAGATCAAACTGAGAGGATTACGTTCTCAGAAGATACAGGTGTCGTGACAAAAATTGATGGGCTGCCAAAAATCGATCAGTGCCGTGGGAGCGCGCACGGGAGGACTCGCTGTAGTTCTTTGAATTTAACAAGATTAACACTAGCTGTACCCGTGAGCAGCTATTCAGGAAAACTAATGGATGTGAAGGATCAGCCAGTGGGCGTGAAGGTCCAACCCACTCACGTTGATTGACAGCTAAAGTCATTCTGCTGAAAAGTGGCATTATGAAAGATTTTTTTTTTAAGTTTCTTATTTCATAATGTTTTATTTATTTATTTAATGATGAGCATGTTGGTGTTCCATATTTAGTGAGGCAGCACGGTGAGAAAAGTTCACAGATGTGTGACTCTGCTGGGATTTTTACGATTTAGTGTCCGCGCAGTGGAAAACCAGTCATCTGATGTGTGACCTCGCCCTCCACACCTGACTGGTAAGCTCCCTGACTCAGGACCATGCAGCCGCTGGGGTCGGTCTGATGAGATGTGAGGCAGCCTTGTGGCACAAAAGTTGGAACGAGAAGATAACGGTTCAGATAAACAACTTTACAGACAAAACTAATGTGAGTCCAGTCCACGTTTGTTCCTCTCATTGTTTCATGGAACACAGTGTCCTCTAAAGAACAGCAACCAAAGTTGGTAAATGATGTGCGGTGGATGTTTGGACTCCTAAATGAAGAGGGAGATCAAGACAGATTGAGTGAACACTGAAACGTAGCCTGAGGCTGATCTCTCAGTGTCCCTTTGCAGCCATACAGAAGAAACTAATGGAGACTAATGTTTATTAAAGAGCGTTTGTCACAGCAGATAAAATGAGGGAGCAATCTCTGTCTTACTCGTTCCTTGGAAATGGGCTTTCTGGTAAAAAAAAACCCACAAGGGGTGTGTAGCTTCTGGTTAAATATGTGTCTGCCATTTTTAAACTTATTTTACAAGTTTTGTGTTTAAATGACATCACGTGTTTGATTCTAATCATCATGTGATTGTATATTTCAGTATTCATATCATGTATTTTTTCTGTCTGTTCATGTGACAGGCACTGATGCAGGCTCATGACAGCGTGGCCGTGCAGGAGTTGGCAGAGGAAACTATGACTCAGTATCTTGGAGAGACGGTTAAATTAGTGCGGCTGGAGAAGGCCAAAGACACCCCTTTGGTGAGATGTCGTGTTTTTTTATCCACAGCTGCTGTTAGGTGTGTTTTTATGATCTCCAAGTGATTTAGACTGCTCTAGGTCACAGCGAGCGCCCCTGGCGGTGCATGTGATGCGTTTCTTCTCTTCTAACATTTAGATTTGTGTTTGTTCAACCTTAGAAAATGTGCAGTGTTTGAATGTGCAGTCTTTGTTTTGTGAAGCATTCCCTCACCTGAGTGCTCCTGTATGTGATTACCAGGGTGCAACAGTGCGTAATGATGTGGAGAGTGTGGTGGTGAGTCGTGTGGTGAAAGGTGGTGCGGCGGAGCGCAGCGGCCTCCTCAGTGAAGGAGACGAGATCCTGGAGATCAACGGGGTCGCCATTCGTGGAAAGCATATCAACGAAGTCCACGACTTGCTGGTGAGGACTTCATCAGAGTAACCTTACACTTGTTTACAATCATTTGAACAACTTCTGTTTATTGGGAGATAGTCTACATTTCTTAACCACCCCTAGAGAAAAAAGTACAGTCAGTAAAAGGCTGAAATTTGATGGAACTGCATCAGGGACGTGTTTACTTTGTTGATTTTTCATGTTTTTTCACAGCAAGAAATGCATGGAACCCTGACCTTCCTCATCATCCCGAGTTCTCATGTTAAACCTGCCCCTCACAGACACACTGTGGTAAGTCTCTTACAGCATGAGAGTGTGCGTCAGAAATCCTGTTGGCATGTTTGCAACAGTAAACCTATTGTTGTAAACTCTCTCCTCAGATGCACGTACGAGCTTACTTTGACTATGACCCCTCTGATGACCCCTTCGTGCCATGTCGGGAGCTGGGTTTGTCCTTCCATAAGGGGGACATACTGCACGTTATCAGCCAGGATGACCCCAACTGGTGGCAGGCCTACAGGGATGGAGACGAGGACAACCAGCCTCTGGCTGGACTCATCCCAGGTAGAAATTAAATGAAGGCAGAACATTAAAATGTAGTTTATTGCTTCACAGTGCACAATGAGCTCAGGTGCGTCCTGTTACCACTGCTCATCCTGCAGTTGTTTTCACAACTTGAATGGAGTCCACCTGTATCCATGGACAAGACTGAGTAAAGCTGTCATATAAGGTGACATATTGTACAGTGCCTGTCAGAGCACAGACCGAGCCGTGATGTTCAGAGAATCATCTGTAGACTCCTGAGACCAGATTGTACTGAAGCACAGGTCTGAGGAAGGGTGCAGAAATATATCTGCAGGATTGAATGTTCCAATGAGGTCTACATAATCATAAATAGAAGTTTGGAACCACTGGGACTCCTCCTAAAGCTTACCTCCTGGCCAGTCTGAGCGATCAAGGTAGAATGGTTGGTTGTTCTTCTGGAAGGTTCTCCTCCCTCCTGCCAGACGCTGGAGCTTTGTTGGAGTAACCAATAGGTTCCTGGTCACCTCCCTGACCAGAAAGCCCTTCCACCCAGATCTAAATGAAGTTGAGCTAGTGTAACGTAATAATAATGTAATTGTAAACTGTAATATTGATAATAGTATTTCCAAAACGGTGGTCCTGAGAGAGGTTTGAAGACAGCTGTTGCTGGGACTTTACGTGAGCTTGGTACGAAACTCACCGAGTTAGAAATTCATGACCATCTGGCCGTTTGGTGCGATTGCTGCTGCTGCGACCTGCAGCCACTGACCAGCTAATACAAAAGTAACAGCAGTGTCACTTTGAAAAACAAAGAACAAACACAAACAGATGTAAAGGAAATTGACTGGGAAACAAAAAAAGAAGAAATTTAAGCATCAGCAGAAGCTTCGTTTGTGTGTTTCATCTGTCGTCATCTCCATCAATGAAGCATGCCAAAAATATTGGCATTGCACTTGCAATTTCATTACGTACATTTCAAAGCATTTTATTCACATTTTAGCGTTTATTAACACAAAAAAGAAACTGCAGGAGTTTGAGATCAGTGTCGCACAGGTGGCTGGCAGCGAAGCTAATAGGATAGTGAAAATCTCACTGGCTGTAGGCGTGTAAAGACAAGCAGGAACAAGATGTTAACTGTTGGCACCTTTAACTGCACAAGGTCACAGTTTGTGGTTTTTCATGTTACATTCAGTGAATCAACTCCTTCATTCTGGTCATAAAAGTAGTTTTGTTGACTGAAGGCTTTGTTTTATTCAAGTGATTTTTTAATGAAGAAAAAAAATATCAATTTGAATAAGTAGCCGTGTCCAAACTTTTAACTTGTATGTAATTTACAACACTTGTACAATTTTTTTTTTTTTGCAAAAGACGTTAAATAAACTTTAAGAAGTGGGTAAAGTCATAAAGATGAAACTGAAACAAATTATATTTTTTGTGATCCATCAATGAGGCAGATTTTCAGTTCAGCTCTTGTTGTGTCTGGAAACTACGACGGAGCTTTAGGGCCACGCTAAGAAATAAAAATTAAAAGCCATAAAATTACGAGAATAAAGTCGTAGAAGACTTTTTTTTTTTTTTTTACAGCTCTTGTTTATTTTTATTTATTTTTTCCACGAGTTGGATCCACGACATGAACTGTCAGTCAATCCAGTAGGAGTGTCAGCAAATGACCAATCCGAAGCTAAATGCTCCTTTACCTGCAGAGCTGCTGCAGAACATCAGAGCGTACCACCTGACTGTAAACAGGTTCAAAGTCCTGATACTGATAATTTTCTGATACTGATGCGCTATCAGATTAATTATCTCATTATTTGTAAAACCAGTACCAAAGTATAACTTAACAAGACGCTCATTTTTTTCATTTTACCACAGTTAAAATACGGTAAACAGCTGCTTTATTGTGTTGGACTTCGGTTAATATTACGACTCATTTAACTTCGGATTGGTCATTTGCAGACACGCCTACTAGATTGATTGACAGGTCACGTTGTGGATCCAACTCGTGGAAAAAAATAAATAAATGAACAAGAGCTGTAAAAAAAAAAAAAGTTTTGTACGACTTTATTATCGTAATTTTATGGCTTTTAATTTTTTTTTTCTTAGTGTGGCAATGTAATTTTTATTTTTTTATTTTTTTTAGCATGGCCCTAAATCTCCGTCATACGAAACAAAGTTGCAGACGAGTACTAGAAAGTGACAAATAACTAACCCGCCACTACTAACCTGACTCCACCCGTCTGGCACGTCCAGCAGATTAAAAGGAATGCTCAAGATTTAGTTGAGTTTGCCCTTTGACCCAGGTCTGTTGGGGGTGCAAGTAAACAAGGTTAAGCCCTAAGAAATGGAAAGTTGGCTTCCTTTATGCGTTTTCCCCCAGTACATTTACATTAACAACGAATATTCAGTGACAAACTAAATACCGTTTTTAAATATTTTGAATTTGTTTTAGGTAAAAGTTTCCAGCAACAGAGAGAGAGCCTAAAGAAAACTATAACCGACAAGAACCAAGAGCAGCAAGGTGAGCAGTGTGTGAACCAAACTCAACACGTTAGCTGGTGCAGGTTTGTAAACAGACTCATTTAAAACTGTTGTTTTTATGTGTTCAGGGAAGTTGTGGAGTTCAAAGAAAAGCAAAAAACAGAAGAAGAGGAACACCTCAAACACAAACAAAGGTGAGAGTCCTGTCTTTAGCGACGTGAGAACTGAGCGGGTTTAAAACCGTGCTCCGTGTGCACGCTTACCTCGCTGTCGCTCCTCGTTAAAGCACCTTTGAAAGCCCGCCTCGGTGCTGGACAGCTGCCAGACGTCCACCACTGTCAGCATTACGCCCACGCGTAAGCCGAAGTTGACACGCCTCGTCTTTTTCACAGCAGCTTGTCCAGACTTGTTGTGTCACAAGTCAGATTAGACTTGTCTTCACAGACGGGATCAGCGAGCGCTTTAACGGCTTGGAGGGACTTGGCGGTTTTAGGGTTCACACAGAGAGGTGTACTGGTTATAAAAAGAATGAGACACACATTGTTTTGTCAAAGTGCTCAATGCCCTGATGTTCCCTTCAAACAAAACACAAGTGATAATCTGCAATATGTTTATGTTTGAAATTTCTAGTTTCACTCGTTCACAGTTAAGAGTCACAGCTAGGTCCAGATCAGCAGCTCAACGGTCCGATGTTTCACTGAGCCCTCCTCCTCTGTGTTTTCAGACTACGATGACCTCATGACCTACGAGGAAATGTCCCTCTACCACCAGCCTGCTAATCGCAAACGGCCCGTTGCTCTGATTGGTCCAGCAAACAGCGGACACGACGAGCTGCGTCGGAGGCTTCTGTCCACGGGACCAGACAAGTTTGCCGTCGCCGTTCCACGTAAGCCCACTCTTCAGCAAAGCACATAAACGTTAATCACAGCTTCTGGTGAGGATTGTAATCAACCTCACCTTTTGTATGGTTCAGACACAACCAGGAACCCAAGAATACATGAGCGAAATGGACGCGAGTACCATTTCGTGAGCCGCTCTGCCTTCGAAACTGACCTGGCGACGGGGAAGTTCATCGAGTCGGGGGAGTATGAGAAAAACCTGTACGGCACCAGCACAGATTCTGTCCGACACGTCGTCAACTCTGGTCGTATCTGTTTGCTCTGCCTGCACACGAGGGTAGGAGGCTGAATGTTTGTTGCTGTGAAACAGTTATTTTTGTGTGACACGATAATTACACAGATCCCACGGCGCTCCGCCAGAACATCGTGTGAACGTTTTCTTCCCCAAGTCCTAAAAAAGTATTCTGGTTGATCAAAACAGAAATTACAGCAGACATGATGCTATGGCCTATCTTTGTTTATTCTTTAAACTTCAGCTTTCCTTTATATTTGTGTGTGTTGGTGTTTCTTGTGTCAGTCACTGCGAGTGTTGAGGTCCTCCAACCTAAAGCCATATGTCATCTTCATCGCTCCTCCTTCTCAAGAGCGACTGCGCACTCTGCTGGTCGTAGAGGGGAAGACACCAAAGGTAAAAGATGGCAGAAAAAACATAAAGAAGGAAGATCATAAGTCAAATTTTAATATTGATTTTTCCCAACAAGAACAATCTTTTCAGGTATTTTATTGTTAATAAAAATAATGAAAACTGTATGAAAGACCAGAAGATAACAGTTTTTCTTACTAATATTTACAGGGTTTCTGCTCAGCCTTAATTTGCTCTTAGTATTAAGAACTGCACTTAACACCGTACACGTCGCACCACCGTATAAGTTGCATCTGTCCAAATATGTCTAATAAAGTGGGAAAAAACATACATAAATCGCTTCGCTGTATAAGTCGTATCTATTATGAGTCACCGCTGACGTGTCGTGTTTGTTATGCGTCACAGCTGACCACCCGGAAACATGGGCCGGTGTGCCAAAAATCGATTGGCTGCCAAATGGTGGGAGCATGCACTGGAGGACTTTAACAAGAATTTAACAAGATTAACACCTAAAAACAATTCTTTGTTTGCTTGACATTATAGCAAAGCTGTGTCTCAGTTGAACTTTTCCTTAATAAATGCACTTTAATGGTCAAATCAGCTGCATTTCAGCTGGGCGGTGCGGCGAAATGCAGCTGATTTGACGTTTGACGTCTTATTAATAACCACTTTTACCTATTCATGAGACACTTGACTTGCCATATAACTTGAGGGCCCACTAGTGGCTGCAAATGGTAGTGTTCAATATTTTCCATGTCAGAATGAATGAAATTTTAAGATCTCAGCCAAAAATTGGGTTATAAATATGGGGAAAACATATATTAGTAATTTCTGTGTATAAGTTGCAGGACTTGCAAATTTATGCAAAAGGTACGACTTATACAGCGAATAATACGTTATTCAGATCTTTAAAAAGTATAGAACAAAGAAAACAGAGTAAAATGTGTTTACAGACTTGATTCTTTTTTGAAAAATAAAAATCATATTTTCTGAAAATAACTCAAACAACAGTACTTTTCAGATTCATTATAAATAAAATGTGTACTGTGCATAAGTTTTAAAGCAGACTTATTGTTTGTTTGCCAAATGTTGCTTACTCTGATGGCAAACTGAAGCGCTACAAATTACCCCAACCTTTAAACATATGTTGCTTTTTCCATTTTACTCTGAATCAGAAATTAGTTTCACAAAATAAACCTCATTCTGTCCTGAACCATGTAAATCCCTGCGATCTGTCTTTTGTGTTGTACATTTACTGTAACTTCTTGTACTTGTGTATCAAAAACTGGCCAAAGATCAGTTTTAAGAAATCTGGAAACTTACGTCAAAGATTAAATTTAAAACAAGACATGTAGGAACCCCATATTTAACATTTGTGTCTGATCCTGAATAGACAGTTTAAACTTTTTTCTGTTAATGTCTCGTTTTCTGCACACAGCCGGAGGAGCTGAAGGAGGTCATTGAAAAGGCCCGCGAGATGGAGCTCAAATACAGCCACTTCTTTGACGCCACCATCGTGAACATGGATCCAGACCAGGCTTTCCTCGAACTGCTCAGGGTAATAGATAAACTGGACACGGAGCCGCAGTGGGTGCCCACATCCTGGCTCTGTTAGGAGCTGTTTTCTCTCAACACCAAGAGTCTCAGGGAAGATGAAGAAGGTAAACGGAGGAGAAAAACTGAGAAAGGAAGACTGTGGTAAAAATGAATAAATAAAAATCTCAGGATTCTCACTTGCACATTTTCCTCGCTTGGAGAGGATCGTTACGCTGCAAAGATGGACTTTCAAACGTTAATTCTCGGTGTGTGTGTGTGTGTGTTTTGTGGGTGATTTATTTTTGTTTTGTTAACGTTTTGTTAATCTTAGTTTTATGCAAAAATCAATCATTTGATAAATAGAAATATTAATAGATATTTAAATTGTAAATATACATACATATATATATATATATATATATATATATATATATATTAGGCCAAAAAAGTTAAATATTTTATTACATTTAGTTGTGCCACACCAAATCCAAATATTCAACTGGGAGATTAAGCTTTAAAAAGGCTTTTCATGGAGCCAAAACCTCATTGAGTGAAAAATAAAAATAAAAAAGTGGGTAAAATAGATTTTTGCCCATTTAGATATTGTCTTCCAAATCTGCTGGAGCCTTCATAGTGTTGGGAATACAGTAGTCCCTCCTACATCGCGGTTTTTCAAAATAAGATTGGACATGACACAGTTGACTGATTGATGGACGAGCCATGGATTGTTTATTTAAAGTAAAATAGTTTAAATGATTTTGCACCGTGTGCAGCCCACAAGTGCAAGGGTAAGCTTCCTCCTGCAGCTGATCAGCTGATTTCCTTCTCTGCAAGCACACATTTCTCCTGCTGCAGCAGCTTTGTGAAGCGTTAACCCTTCACTGTCCAGATGCACCGATCGACTTTTGTCTTCCAACTTAAAATTCAAAGTATGTCGCATCGTAAAATCATCATAATCACAAAATATAAGTGTTAAAAGTTATTTTTAATTATTTTAGAACCTCTATGTTCAGTTGTTACAGTGTAATTGATCAAGAAGTACATTTCTGCTCCGTGCTGCAGAGCTGAAGCTGTGACATTCCTTTGATGTCCTGCTGCACTTCTCTACAATTTAAATACAAATTACATGTTACTAAATAATGTTAATAATATTACTAAATGCATATTAATATTACATATATTACTAAATACATAGTAAATAAACAATCCATGCTGCACAGATTAATTGGATTGTGTGCAGCCTGGCACATATCATGACAAAGTTTACTGAACTTGGACCACTGTACCCCGACGTTACGGTTTTCACTTATCGCTGGTGGGCGTGGTCCCAAACACTCGTGATAAACGAGGGACTACTGTATGTCAACACCACTTTTGTCTCCTGTTCACTAAAGACTGACCTCATGTTGGTTATTGTTACACTAAACGTGTAAAGCTGCATGTTTTATACCAGTGTAGTACAAACAGGACTTTATAAACATTAGGATCATTTGCAAAAGTGTTAATAAAAAAATTAATGAAGTCGTTGCATTTATTTTTCAATTTTGCATTCTTTGAAAGCACAAACATTTTTCTTTGACAAACACTGAAGGGAAAGAAAAAAAAAATCAACTTCACAGTTCAAACCATCACAGAAATATTGAAAAGAATCGGAGCATCTTTTGATTTGTTTACATCTTTATTTAGACGGCGTGTTGAGGGGTTTGACTTGCTCACAACGTTTTACAGGATCACAGATTTACAGCTTTCAGTCATGAATCCTCCCAGAGGTGTGTGTCTGTGTGTGTTACAGGTTTTAAACGACACCCTGAAATCTACAACCACCCTGAGCGTTACAGCATGCAGCGGCTCTAAACGTGTCAGATATCAACTGATGAACCACTCACACGGAATGCTTCTTTAATTTCATTCACAAATGTAAACATGTTCTTTGTGATTCTTTTTATTCATATGCACTTTATAGTTAAAGACTTTTTGCTGTACAGCGACATGTGGAACCATTCAAACCTTCCAGCACTGATTCACATCACAAACATGGACACACACACGCAAAACAAACTTTTTATCACTTTATAAGATTTAAACGCGGCCGGAGAGGCACAGAATAAATACGACGGTGGTGCTTCACTCGAACAGCAGGTCCTCGTCCGTCTCCTCGGTCAGCATGTTGGCCGGCTCGGCGATCGGACCGAGGGCAGCCAGGCGGGCGGCGATCTCGAGCTCCGTCTTTTGCCTCAGCTGCTTCTTCTTCTCCTGAATCTTCTTCAGCCTGGCAGAGCAGACAATCAGTTTGAACAGAAACCTAGCTTGCTAGTAGAATTCCTAATCTTATCAGTGAGACTACCGTATTTTTCGGACTATAAGGCGCATTTAAAATCCTTTAATTGTCTCAAAAATCGACATCGAGCCTTATAAATGAACTTTATGTGGTTATTGTGAATGAGTTGAATAAAGTTTCACTTATCTGTTTTGTTTCGCCTAATGCGCCTTATAGTCCGAAAAATACGGGAATGTGATTCCGACGGTTTATTTATTGTCTCAAATAAAAATGTTCTCACCTGTAGAACTCCTCACGTTCTCGCTCGTCCAGCTCGGTGATGATGTAGGTGAGCGTGCGGTCGATCCTGGGAATAATCACTGCAGGGTGGAGTAAAGATTATTACGAGCACAATAACGAGCGTCTTCGATCTTCTCAGCTGTGCAGCTCGAGTTTACCGTGCTCGATGGCGTTCACGCGGCGGTTGGTGATCTTTATGGCCTCGTCCAAGGTGACAAAAGACGTCTGCAAACAAAATTCTTCTGCGCTTTAAAAAGAAAAGACCAAAACGAGCTACGCTAATGCTTTATTAGCAACAGCAGCCTCTACCTGCAAGGAAGCCAACTCGACAAGCAGCTCCACAGCTCTGGCGTAGTTCCTCTTCAGCCTGGAGAGCTGCTCCCCTCCTCTGGCCAGACCGGTGAGTTCATAACCTGACAGACACACACAGCGACACTTGGCCCTCTCTGAAGATCACATCTAACCAACACATCCTGTGGGTACATCACACTGCACTTACTGTCTCCACCTTCTTGGTAGTGTTCAAAAACTGGAAGGGTCACCCCTGAAATGGTAAATTCAAAGAATAAACATCTCGGATTCAGTGATAATATAAATAAGGACTGGACTGGTCTAACCTGCCACGTTGTCCTTCTTGGCTCGAACCTTCACCTGGGCTTTGTTGACGTTCTGGATAACAGTAGTGCTGCGAACAGATGAACGTTACCGACACATCTGTATCAAACTCCACTGAACATCGCAGCGAGCTCGTTTTAATTTTTACCTAAAGTCGCCTGCGGCAAATTTGGCTTCAGCCAAAGAGAAAGCGGCCTCTCTCATCACCTCTCCCATCTTGGTTTTAGTCTAAAAGAACAGAGAAATTAGAAATACATAAAAAAAGTCTTTAGGAAATAAAAGTCCAGTTTATAAGATCCATGTGAGTAAAACAGACCTGAATCAATGCCTTCCAAAATTTGATTAAACCGACTGATATTAATAAAAGGTAGAATTAATATTTTACTATTTGGTTAATGGTATTAGTTGCAGGTAAGTTTACAGAAGTGACTTTGAATGGTGCAAAATGAAACGCAGTAGCAATTTAGGATTTATTTTTCCAACTGACTTCAATGATTTTACGCAGGATCTGACGGAAGCGCATCGAGAGGGCGTCGGCCTTCTTCTTGAGCAGACTGCGGCCGGTCTGCGCTCCTTTCAGCCGAGCCTTCATGATGGTCTGAGCCCTGCAGACACGCACGAAAACCTTTAACGTTCAGCTCAGAGAAACACTTTTCGAATTTCACTGCAAAGATGCTGATTATCATTTGTTGATTTTAACAAAAGCAAAACTATTCGGTGCAAAATTTACCACAAACCCTCTTGGTGGTTTTCCTGGTCCACCAGCATCTTTAATTAGTTACAAACATATTCCATACTTCCAAGACCTTCGGTGGCTGATGCGATATCTTTTTTTTATATAGATCTTGCAGTTTTCAATATTTCTAAATAACGTCAATACTTTGTTTTGTAGGTTGTCTTGCAGCTTATAATAGAGTCAAGATTTTTTTATTATTATTATTTTGAAAGTTTTCTGAACCAGTACTAATGTTCATAACTTGGCTGTTGGTTGATATTTGTAGTCGGCAGATTTATTTATTTACTTGTGTCCCACAAGAAAACAACATTCCAAAAAAAAGTTTGTTTCAATACACTTAAAAAAAAAAAAATCTGTAAAATAATAATATTAGTTATCATTTATTTTTATTTTATCTTATTACAACTGTTGTCGTGTATAATATTTTGTATAAATGAGGTTCTATTTTCTAAGCAAAGCTAATGCACACAGTCTTTCCATGCAGCCTTGTTTTAGCTGCAAGTATCTGTGCTCTCCCAGATGTGATGTTCTATACAAGATCACATGACACAACAGGACTCTTCCTCTTTGAAACAGCAGCCTGGCTCACACAAAATTAATAATTCGCAATGCAGAACAAAAACGTGTAGATCGAGTCATATAGAAAGTAAAACGTTTCAGTACCTGGAAACCAATACAAATAATATGTAAATAAGCTGTAGCGGGTTAGCAAATGCTAAGTAAAAAAGCTGCTTACATTCTAGAGGGGAATATGTCGATCCTGTCCTTTCCAGACATCTTCCCGTTTTTTGGTCAACCACTGCTGTTTTCTCTTTACTTCTACGCTCTGAGTGTAATAACTTGACGTTGATTTTATTTACAAAATACTAGAGTAGATATATAATAACAGAAAAAGCTATCAGAGTAGGATTACGTGCTCATATCACAAGCTAATGTTCGTGATCTTGCTCGTCCGTGATGATCAGCTGGCCTCCTGGTCATGTGACTCAACCGATCTCGCTCTGCACATGCGCAGATCGTGACGCTCCTACAATTCTTTCCGGGGCAAAAAAAATTAGCGCACCCATGAATGTACGCTAACGGGCCCGAGTAATTCAACATATAAACGCCCAGAAGACAACAGAGAGGGACATTTAAAACGTCCAGCGCAGAAGTTTCTACTTCATCACTCTGTAAGCCCATGACACAGGTGAGTTTTAGCTGACAGAGGAGACGTTTGGAGCCATGACGAGACGGTAGCTGCAAGCTAAACATGTAGCCTCCGCTGCCGCATGTGATTTGAGAACCGGGTTGCTAGCTTGAAAGCTAACATTAAAGTAACTGCGTTTACCAGAGTAAACGCGTTATTTTATGTTGCAACCAAAATTATTTATTTGTAATGAGATTAAATTGTTGTTAAAATACTTCGTTTAGTCTGCAAGTTTGTTATTTTGCTCAATTTAAAAGGCGATCTGTCATCATTGCATCATCCCATGATTCAAAGATAAAAAGAGGAAAATTACTAAAGCGGCAGAATGGACCATCTGCCCAGTGCCCATAATATAAATAATTATCCAGACTCTTATAAATGCATTTGTTTAGGTAAATGTAACGTTCTACTAAATCTTTGAGAGTTTGTGTTAATCTTACTGTTGTAAATGATGAACACCCATGAAGGCGCGTTTAGTTGTGCAGCTTCACTGGTTAAAGCTTCTATAAATTATTATGAATCTGGATATAACACTGGTGGTTGAGTGTGTATCTCAGTTTAATAAGGTTCATTATGAAGCTAGCTTAATGACTGCAGGCATTTTGTGTATTCAGTTTGAGTTCATTGTAAAAATTTCCCGAGGGTTTTGTTGTTTGATCCTAGGACAGTAATCTGCAAGTTTTACAATCCAGTAATCCATCCCAGCTCCTTTTCTCATTAAATAAAACTTGCCCAGTTTAAATTTTGACTACAGTATAACTGGTGTCCAATCCATGTCCTTGATGGTCGCTGTCCTGCATGTTTTAGTTGATTTTCTGCTCCAGCACAATTAATTTATGTAATTAAAAAGTTGAAATACATGTCCTTAAGTTCTGCAGAGGTTTATTAACCTATTTATTTTAACTGAGTGTTTTGAAGTAGGAAAAAGAAAACCTTCTAAAGCATGAAGAATCATGGCCCTTGTGAGAACCAGAATTGGACGCTACTGTTCCAAAGCATCTTTTTTTTAAGTTTACTGGCAGATTTTTATTTAAAGTATTAAACAGTATCTTTTCCTGGTGTTTGTGTCCTCAGAGATGCCGGGGCTCAGTTGTAGGTTTTACCAGCACCGGTTCCCAGAAGTGGAGGACGTTGTGATGGTGAACGTGAGGTCTATCGCCGAGATGGGGGCCTACGTCAGCCTCCTGGAGTACAACAACATCGAGGGCATGATCCTCCTGAGCGAGCTGTCCCGTCGGCGTATCCGCTCCATCAACAAACTCATCCGTATAGGTCGCAACGAGTGCGTCGTCGTCATTCGAGTCGACAAAGAGAAGGGTGAGCACTGACCATTCGAGGTGGATTTGGTTTAGAATATGACTGCGCCATGTGTGAAAATGTATTGATATAGCAAAAAAATCCCAATAAAATGCAAACGTTGCAGATAATATAAATTTGACAATGACGTGCATCCCCACTCCACTCATTCCCTGCAGCAGGAGCATGGAGAGGGTTGTGAGCGATGTAATGAGAACCCTCATGTTCTGACATGAGGGTTTATTGCAACTGATAGGGCTGCATGGTAGAAAAAACTTGTAATATGAGATAGCATTGTTTAATGTAGCAGGCACACTATTGATTGCAATAAACCCACATTTCCTTCTGTTTCACTGTCCTCTAAACCTGCTGTGGACATCAAGACCAAATATAATATTAGCAGAACATAAATGTGTTCTTTAAAATATAATGGTCAATAAGTTAATGCTGTCAGATTGGTCCTTTGCTATGTTTATAATGCACTTACTGATACTACAATGACAATCAATTATCAGTATGTTGTGTTTCTCCAGTCCACACCTGCAGTATAGATCACACTTTGAACCTCTGCACGTTCTTCAAACCACTTTACAAAGTTTTTCAATATCCCGTTCATACAGAGCTTTCTGCATGTATATATATTTTGCAGGGTTTTTTTTAATCTTATACACCTACCGTACTTTTCGCTGTATAAGTCACACCTTTTTGCATAAATTAGCATGCCCTGCGACGCGACTAATTAAAAAAAAATCCAATATTCATAACCCAATTTTTGGCTGAGATCTGATGATTTCATTCATTCTGACATGGAAAATATTAAACACTACAATTTTCAGCCGCTAGAGGGCGCTCGAGTAATATAACAAGCCACCATCTGGAGCAAACGTCAAATCAGCTGCATTTCACCGCCCCCCCCCCAGGCACAATGCAGCTGATTTGACCATTAAAGTGCATTTATCAAGGAAAAGTTCAACTGAGACACACCTTTACTATAATGTCGAGCAAACAAATAATTGTTTTGAAGTGTTAATCTTGTTAAATTCTTGTTGAAGTTCTCCCGTGCACGCTCCTACTACTTGGCAGCCAATCGATTTTTGGCACAACGCCGGCCCACGTTTCCGGGTGGTCGGCTGTAGGGCTGTGCGATATGGCATAAAATTCATATCATGGTATGTATTGTGATGGGTGGCAGTAACGATATATATCACAATATGTTTTTGGTATAAAACTTTCAATAGGAATTTTTTTTTTTTTTTTAAGCATAGTGTCCTTTAGCCATCATTTATTTTGAAAACTGCTACACCACAAAATAATCTCAATGAGGAAAATTCCACTACTAGGTCCATAGAGTTTTTAAATAATAAACAAATCAAGTATTAGGCTTCTTTCTTGTAGTGCAAAATATATCAAATGTATTTTTAGCCATACGTTTTAAACAAAAGAATATGTTGTTAACTCACTTAAGAAATGAACAGCAACAAAGCGGCATGTTACACTGAAACACTTCAACTGTCTAACCCTCTAGTGGGCGTCTCCTTCTGCTTTAAGGAGAGCTGACACAAAATGGCGACCAGTTTCTTCTGTGGCTTTGACCAGAGAGCGTTCTTTTCACAGATCAGAGAGCAGGTTTAACCTTTCTTTTTTTTTTTTGCACAAATGCACTCTCTAAAGCTGACCAATGCACTTTTTTTTTTTTTTTTTGAACTTTTTATTTTCAATAGCGGTTTTATAACAACAGATATACATGTCCACCCTTGTCACATTTCACATTTTGCTTCTTCATATCTTATTTACACAGACCATCCTAGACATTTCACCTCCACCAGGTAAACAAGCCATCTAATTCTGGCACTGCCAGAAATTATCCAGGAACATTTGATGAAGGAAAAAGACTCTCAAAGATGCATCTCCTTCAACTAGATATTTGCCCCATTAAGAAATACCTATTTTCATTAATAACCTCCATAGATCTATAAATCTCAATAACAGCAGTGACAGGGACAACAGTGTACATAATGAAAATACAGACTAAAATAATGAAAATACACAATAATAATACAAAATAAGTTAAAAAAGTACACAATAATAATTAAAAAAAAAAAAATAATAATAATAAATAAATAAAATAAAGAAAGAAATAAAGAAAGAAATAGAGGTGTCAAGGTTACAATATGAATTTTGCTATAGGTTTCCACTTATTTTCAAAGGTCTCCATCTTAAGTTGTAGTCTTGCTGTTGTTTTTTCCATAATGTAAACTTTTCTAATTCTATCTCTCCATTGTGTAATACTAGGCGGCTGAGGTCTTAACCAAGCAGATGTTATACACTTCTTTGCAATCAGAAGCAGGACCCTGATCAAGTATTTACTGTCTTTGTCGATCATATCCGAGTATATTATTCCTAGAATATATACAGATATGTCCAGTTCTAAGTGAATGCCCAAAATACCTCTTATACCTATTTGCACCTTTTTCCAAAACTCAACCACCTTCGGACAATCCCAAAATATATGAGTAAGATCCCCCACCTTTCCACAATTTCTCCAACAAAGCCAAGATGTCTTACCATATTTAGATGTGATGATCGGGGATCTAAAGTAACGCATCTTAACTCTCCAGTCAAATTCCCTCCATGTTGGGCTGTTGGTCAACTTGTGTCCAGAACTAAATGTTTCTTCCCAATGCTCATCTGCTATTATTATATTAGCCTCCAATTCCCACTTCACTTTAATCTCCTTATTATTAACATTGGACTCATCCTGCAGGCTTTTGTATAGTTTTGAGATCAGGCCTTTTTTTGATTCACCTTTTGCTATTGATAGTAAAATTTCTTCAGTCTTGGTCATATCTGTTGAGATTTTTTGCCATTCACTATGATTCTGAAGGTAATGCCTGAGCTGCAGATATCTATAGAAGTCATTTTTTGTAAGTTAAATTCCCGTCGAATTTGTTCAAAAGATTTCATTATTGATCCTTTAAAAAGCTGTGCTATAAATATCAGTCCTTCTTTCGTCCATCTCTCAAACCCTGCATCCATAGTAGCTGGGATAAAATCTGGAATCTTAGCTATTTTTACAATTTTTGATATAGAGTCAGGAAAATTAAATTTCTTTTTTATTCTTGACCAAATATTAATTGTTTCCTTAATCCAATAATTTTTAATCTTGAGATTTTTCAAAACCACCTTTGTTGTAAAGGGCAGTGTTTGTAGAGATAAATTTGGGCAAGCCCTTTGTTCCATATCTACCCATAATGTTTCTTGATCCTTTGCTAACCATAGGGCTATGACTCTCAATTGAGCAGCCCAGTAATAATTCTTTAGAGCCGGTAAACCTAACCCTCCATCACTCTTTGAGGACTGAAGCATTTTGAGTTTAATTCTTGCCTTTTTATTTTGCCATACAAACCTTAATATTCTTTGGTCCATCTCTTTAAAAAAGGAATTTGGAATGGAAACTGGGAGTGACTGGAATACAAACAGTAGTCTTGGTAAGATATTCATTCTGATTGTTTCTACCCTTCCCCCGACGGTCAGTGGTAGAATCTCCCATCTTTCTAGGTCTTTTATAATTTCCTTCTTCAGCTTCTCATAATTTGCTTTGAATAGCTGTGAAATTTGAGGTGTGATAATTATACCTAAATATCTAAATCCATTATTGGTCCATTTGAACTTTACTTTCTCTTTTAGTTGTGTTGGGCATTCACCTGATAACATCATTGCGACCGATTTACTTTCGTTAGTCGTATATCCAGAAATATTTCCGTACTCTTTAAGGCCTTCTAGTAATGCTGGTATTGATCGGAGTGGATCTGTTAAGAGTACTAATAGATCATCAGCAAACAATGATATTTTATGTTCCACCCCTCCTTCATCTCTTATTCCTTGGATTTGTTTATTCTGTCTTATTGCTTCTGCCAACGGTTCAATATTAACCGCAAATAGCAGTGGACTTAAACAGTCCCCCTGTCTAACTCCTCTCTTGAGATCAAAAAATTCTGAGCAGTATCCATTGATTCGAACTCGAGATTTTGGATTTCTATAAATTACTTTCACCCATTCAACAAATTGCTGTGAAAAACCAAATCCTAGTAGTGTCTGATATAAAAAATTTAATTTTACCCTGTCAAAAGCCTTTTGGGCATCCAAACTAATCAAGAGAGAAGGTTGTGATTTTAATTGTGCATATGACATTACATTTAGTGTTCTTCTAATGTTGTTTGCTCCCTGCCTGCCAGGAATAAATCCCGTTTGGTCTGGATTAATCAATTTAGCTATATATTTTTGCATTCTACCTGCCATTATACTTGTTAGTATTTTTAAGTCGTTACATAATAAGCTCACGGGTCTATAGCCTTCACACATAGTTGGGTCTTTACCCTCTTTACAAATTACAGATACAATGGCTTCAGACCATGTTCTAGGGGGGTCTCCCACCGTTAGTGCATAGTTGAAGACCTTACATAACACTGGCGTTAATTCTTCTCTAAATGTCTTGTAAAACTCCCCTGGCAGTCCATCTGTCCCCGGTGATTTGTTGTTTTTGAGAGTTTTAATCACATTCAGAATTTCCTGTGAAGTTATAGGTCGGGTCATTTCCAGAGACTCTTCTTCTGATAAAGTTGGGAGATTAATTCTTTTAAGAAAAGAGGATGTTTCGTCTTGCTGAGTATCTCTGTCCAAATCATCATATAGTTTTTTATAGTAGTCTGCAAACGCTTCAGCTATTTCTTTGGGTTGTGTTTTAGTTTGCATAGTTGAGGGATGTTTTATTTTGGAGACGTGTCTATTTACTTGGGCTTTCCTAAGTTGAAATGCCAGTAGACGACTCGCCCTATTGCCCATTTCATAATATCTTTGATTTGTAAAGCGCAGAGAGCCTTCTGCCTTGACAGTTAGTATCTCCTCTAATTTATCTCTTGCCTTTTTAAGCTCACCCATTGCGTTCCTATCTCCTAGTTTGTGTTCCCTTTCCAATTCTTTGATCTTATTTTCCAACTCCTTTTGTTCTTTCATTCTGGCTTTTTTCATTCTGGATGATATTTCTATTATTTTCCCTCTTATCACAGCTTTTCCTGCTTCCCATAATGTTGTTGGTGAAACTTCCCCATTGTCATTTATTTCAAAGTATTCCTTAAGTGACTCCTTGATTTCTTTGATAATATTCTGATTAGAAATGATTGATACATTCATTCTCCAATACCTGAAGCAAGGTTCCTTATTTATGCTTAAAGTTAACAGAACAGGTGCATGGTCACTTATAGTTATATTTTCTATGTTACAATTCAATACCTTATGTATATGTTGCTGAGATATATATAAATAGTCTATTCGAGAGTAGCTTTTGTGTGGATTTGAGTAAAATGTGTAGTCTCTTTTCTTGGGGTTGGTGTTCCTCCAAACATCAATAAATCCAAGCTCTTTAGTGATATTATTTAGCCTTTTAGATTTTGTTGTCTGTGATCCATAATCAGAAGGGTATCTATCTAACACCTTATTTTGAACCGTATTAAAGTCACCCCCCATCACCATCAGTCCTTTTGCATCACTAGTTATTATTTTGGCTATTTGGTTCAAGAAAGTGTCTTTCTCTTCGTTTGGGAAATATACATTTATTACTGAAATTGTCATATCTCCTATTCTTCCTACAATCATTACATATCTTCCTTCTTTATCCTTTATCTCTTTTTCAACTTCAAACAAAATCCCTTTTTTGATTAAAATTGCTACACCCCTCCTTTTTCCAAATGAAGCACAAAATGCCTGACTTACCCACTCCCTCTTTAATTTTTTGTGTTCGTTCTCCGTTAGGTGTGTCTCCTGTAATAAAGCTATTGAGCATTGTAAATTTTTTAATTGAGTCAAAATCTTCTTTCGTTTAATGGGATGGTTCAGACCATGAACATTGTAAGATACTATATTTAGCCCGTTCATATTACTACCATGTCTGGAGCTGCGCTGTACCTGACACCTCTTTGAAAAGAAAAATATACTACACAGGACATAACCTCAACTGAAAAGGAAAAAGAAAAAGAGACTATAAACACATTAATTGGAACCCCAAAACAATGCCTGGAACATGAACAAAAGTCTTCCAAGAATCCCAGCATCAGAGAGCTGTGGCCTCCTCTCTGATGGATGTGCACTATGTGCATTAACAACTTCTTAATAGTTGTCTAAAGCCCTAAAGACTAAAACTCCTAAATACTACTCTCTACTGAACACGATTTTCTTCTATTATAGCAAGTTATTACACAACTAGCGTTTTTGTTTTTTTTTTTTTTTTAACAAGGTGAATATCACACTCTTTTTGACCATATTTTTGCAGTTTATGACAATTAATCTCTCTATAGAGATATGCCCGTATGCATACATACATATATTATCCGTTGTTTCGAAGTCGCTGCAGATGACGTCATCACTCCAGGAGGGCCCTCAGGTCTGCCTCTGTGATTTCGGGTTGTCTTAGTTTACCCCCATGTCTGGTCCCCTTCGCCGTCTGCGCCATCACGTGGTGAATTCTCTCTAGTTTGTCCTCCTTCACCTGGATGCCCATCTCCTTCAGCATAGGCGCCGCTTCTTCCACTGTGCTGAATATCTTGGTTCCCGCGTCCAGAAACACTTTGAGTTGGGCCGGATAGGGGGACTGCGCCTTCACGTTCCTCTCCTTCAGCTGCTTGATGACTTCCCTGACCTGCTTCCTCTTCTTTTGGACCTCCGTTGTGTAGTCTTGGTTGAAATAAACAGTCTGTCCTTCACAGCAAATCTTCTGTTTCCATGCCTCTTTTATCACCTGTTCCTTCACCCTATAATCCAGAAAACGTACGATGATAGCTCTCGGGGGCGCCTTGCTGTCCTTTGGTTTGTTCACCAATGAGCGGTGTGCTCTTTCAATACCTAAATCCATTCCGTCTGTGATTTGGATCTGGGATTTAATAAATTGCGCTATGAAGCTCATGGTGTCGTTTTTCTCTGCACCCTCGGGAATGCCATGAATTCTTATATTGTTGCGCCTCATCCTCGACTCCAGGTCGTTGCATTTCTCCGATAGTTTGGTCGTTTCCCGGAGCAGAAATGTCGCCGCCCGCTCCATCCGCGTTGTTTTATCTTCATTATTTCCCAATCTTTCCTCCATGTGAGCTACCTTCTGCTCCAGGGATGTTGTCCTGACCATGAGCTCCCCAATACTCGCTTCGAGTCTAGCCAGCGCTCTCTTGTTATCTCCTACCGCTTCCGCGTGTTCTTTCCGCAGCGCCCGCAGCTCGAGAAGCATGGCCGAGTCCTGGTCCTCATTCGGCAGCTCCACGAGTTCCGCTTCATGGCTCTGTGCTTTCGCTGCTCCGGTACTCTTTTCTTTTGCGCCTTTCTCTTCAGTATTCTTTCCTTTTTTAACCATATTTTCCATGGGTGTTCGTTATCACTTTAAGAGCGGGTTTTCTTTATGTTCTACTGTTTTTACCTTATTTTAACGCTAGTTTTAGTCGTGTTCTTCAGAGCAGCCTTTTTTCCTGCCTTTTACAACATGGCGCCACCGGAAGTCCCCGCCACGACCAATGCACTTTTGATGAGAAAAAAACAAAAACTTTTAACAAAACAAAGCTTTTTGCGCATGCGTCCGAATACGAGTACGGCAAGCCGGCCGTAGTTAGCTTGTAGCTTCGCTTCTTGGCTCTCAAAGAAAGGACTTTAATTCCACTTACTCACAGTTTTCAACTCGGTAAAAGTAACGATTAAATCTGACAACTCTGATTTTACATCCGACAAAGCATTACTGCGGTTAGCCGGTACATCGCACATTCCTAGTCAGCTGTGACGCACAATAAATGACATGTACGGCGGAAAGTACGGTTTAAGTTTGTGTGTGCAGTGGAGGGCTCGGTGCACTTTGTGTACGTGCTGCAGTGGCTCGGGATCAAATCCTCGACCCTCCAGTTCAAAGCCACCCCCTAATTTTCCACAATATTGTCATAGTCGCATGTTTTCCTAAAACTGTGCCGCCCTAGTTTAAAAATAAACGTACTTGTATTAGAGTTGCACAAACGGCAGAATGTTTGTGAATAATTTGATTCTGCCAGTGTTGAGGAGCAGGAAACGTTTGTAACTGAACATTTGCAGATGGAATTAATGACCCATAAAGATTCAGAGGAAGAAAATTGGTTTTTTGCTTCTTTGCATAAAAGCAGCTTGGATATTTTATTGTTTTGTGCAACTTGTGTTGCCATTTCACAGCAATTAATAATCTTTCTGTGCAGATAATTAAACAGTATTGTCAGAACAAGTTGACTTGAACTGATATACCGTTTTTTTATCTTTGTTGAAAAAGTACAAAACAATACAACAAAATGCAGTATACAGTAATGAAATAACAGATGCCAGGGGTTTGCAAACATTGAGACAATAATTTACAATAACATGTTACATAAATATATTGAAAGAGCGCACATAAGGTTCAAGTTTTAATGGCCTTCGTGTTGGTGGATTATTTAATAGTTTTGATGTATTGTTTGACCTCGTTTTCAAAAATGGAGATAAGAGGTTTTTGATTAGTGTAATGACATTTATGAATATGCCATGGGTAGGTATATAATAAGATTAATAATATAGAACTGTTTTTCTTTAGCTGTTGGGTAGTCAGTGAAGCCAAACAAAACATGTTCAAAGCAAAGTGAGAGATCTGGTTCTTTAAAAGTAGAAATCAAAATACAAATATTTGTTCCACAATTGAGTCGAGAAGGAGCAAGACCAAAATAAATAAGACATCTTCTGGGTTTTCATCACAAAAAGAACAAATTATATTTATATCCTTGTTAAAAAATAGATTTTGGATGGGTTAAATCTGTGAATAATTTTGAATGATATTTCTGAACTGATAAACCTCAACTCTCAAAGTGCAAGTTGTTAGTTATCTGACCAAAGGTCTATTTCTTTCTATTCCTAAGTACCACAATGTGCTTCGGCTCATTTTGGGGTGTTTTTCAGCAACTATTTAATCAGACCATCTATAAATCTATTTCTGCTTATCTCTGCATTCTCATTTTTCCTTCAGGATACATTGATTTATCGAAAAGAAGAGTTTCACCAGAGGAGGCCATCAAGTGCGAAGACAAATTCACTAAATCTAAAACTGTAAGTCACGTTGTGTAATTGTTTCATACGGCAACTATAAACTTTTTTCTTATGATTCTAATCATTTTCCAGCCAACAAATGATAAATCTGTTAATTCTTGATCATTTAAGCCTTTGACCCTTACATGAATATTCACTGAGCTGATGGGTGCGTTCAGGTGTACAGCATCCTGCGACACGTGGCAGAGGTGCTGGATTACAGTAAAGACGAGCAGCTCGAGAGCTTGTATCAGCGCACCGCCTGGGTCTTTGATGAGAAGTACAAGAGACCGGGATACGGAGCTTATGACGTCTTCAAACAGGCCGTGTCGTAAGTCCCACCGAGAGTCGCACCAAGACCTGGACACCTCAAAAGTTCTTACTGGATGTTGTATTTTTGCAGAGATCCCGCCATTCTGGACGGGCTGGATTTAACAGAGGAGGAGAGGAATGTGCTGATTGATAACATCAACAGGCGGCTCACTCCGCAGGCCGTCAAAATCCGAGCAGGTTGGATATTTATTTGGGGCTTTGATCGTTAGATTTATTTTTTCAGTTGAACCCTGTGAGGTAAAGCTACAGCTGTTATAGATTTTTCTTTTCCCTGCAGACATTGAAGTGGCATGTTATGGATATGAGGGTATTGATGCAGTGAAGGAAGCCCTGAGGGCCGGTCTTGGCTGCTCCACAGAAGCCATGCCCATCAAGGTAACCTGCTCTTGCACCTAAATGCTGATTGATGTTTGACTTCTACTTTAGAGATGAGCGAGGAATATGAACGGCCACGCTAATGTTATTTTCGTCGTGCAGATCAATCTGATCGCTCCTCCTCGATACGTGATGACGACGACCACTCTGGAGCGGACAGAGGGCCTGTCTATCCTCAACCAGGCCATGGCTGCTATCAAGGAGAAGATAGAGGAGAAGAGGGGTGTCTTTAACATCCAGATGGAGGTGAGTAACAAATCATCTATAAAAACGAGTTCCTCCTTCTGCACCTCTGCTCTGTAATCTACTTTAAATGAGAAAAGGCTTGAACTCAGTTTTGTGAAGAAAATGGTTGATTTTTAAGCTAGCACTATTTTTCCAACCAGTTAGACCAGTGGTTCCCAACCTATTTTCCTCAAAGACCCCCCTTCTTACTTCCTAGTCAATCTGACCCCCCCCCCCCTCAATCCCCCTCTCCCAAAAGATTCATTCAGATTAATCTCTTTATCAAAGTGACAAAAGAAAAAAGTAAATATTATAATTAATATAAGTAATAGTAGTTAAATATAGAATAAATAATAAAAGAATAGTTACAAACTTTTATTTGTAAAAGGTATAAACTGGTAGTTGTACAACAGAAATAACAAGAACACTGTTGAGAATTACTCACATAACTTTAAAAACTAACAGAGTACTCTTAAAAAATAAAAATAGTTTTGTCAAGATATCGTCCTGATCCTATCTTGCAGCTGATTTTTGCCATTTTATCTATTCCGTCCTTCACACTGTTGTTAGAGTGTGAGTTTTCACTTTATTCGCTGCATGAACTCTGTCACACATCAACTCTACAGTTTTCAGGCGGGTCGGTCTCAGATTATTCTCCAATGTTGTGCAGATTTTTAGCCATAGAGATTAAAAGTGAACACTCAAAAGATGCTTCTGTGTCTCTGTGCAAATCACTACCTGCTCTTGCAAAGGCTTCTCTGATGTCGGCAGCTTTTTGAGAACTGCTTCTGACAGTATTCCTGACTTTCACCAATAGTAATATTAACAATGTCTGGTCCAAACTAGGAAAAAATGTGCTTATGTTGTATATTTAATAGAACGTGAGCTTAAGAGCAACGATAACCTCCTCAGGCAGCCACACGCACAGTGCTGATGTCATAACAAAGCGCTCTTAAAGTGACGGTACAGATTTTAGTTTTTAACATGACATGGAAAACAACCAATGAGGTTAGTTTATTCACAGGAGCTGCTCATTTATGTACTTGTTTAAAATTATTTTATTTTGACAGGTTGCCAAGCTTCCTGCCGCTGTATAATTTTCCTTTGACACACCTGGGCACTCGTATAGCTGCTGTCCAACACACTTTTGTACAGTTTGATATTAATTTGTGGACACCTGTGGTCATTTAGGTACAAAATTGTTATTTTTAAATTTAGTATGTGCGGCTCAGTCAGTTGCTTTTATATAGATTCTTCCTTTCGAGTTCTTTGACAATTTATTTATAGAGAACTTAATATTGTATTTGACTTCAGAATGTGCTAAAAATAAAACTGTTTTGTGCCACACAGCCCAAGGTGGTGACGGACACAGATGAGACGGAGCTTGCCCGGCAGCTGGAGAGGTTGGAAAGGGAGAACGCTGAGGTGGACGGAGACGACGACGCTGAGGAGATGGAGGCCAAAACAGAAGACTAGAGTTGGTCCTCGCTGGGGGGAGGGGAACAAATGTCAAAGCAGCTTTTGTGGACAGACCTGGGAACAGTCACTATTCAACTTTAACGTTGCAAACATTAAATGGCATTTCTTACTCGATTGGCAAACAGGTGTCTAACATGGACAGAAAGATGGTTACACATGTCAAACAGCAGTATGGTTTCCATTTTAAATGAACGGGAACCATTTACAGGCAGCGCCTTCACTTACCTCTGGTGTAAGAGTCCGTATCCACAGCCTTCAGTGGTGACTTTATCTGGTAATTATCTTCCAGTTTAAGGGTGTTTTACCAGCAAGACCTGCTTCTTGTTCAGCTCCAGTGAAATGAATAAAAGTTTAGAAATTTTTATCTCCACTTGTCGTTCATTTGCTTGAACTACATCTGAGGTGCACAAAATTCAACAAAATCAGGACGATGATTGAATTTTTTTTTTAAAAAAAGGTTTAATCAAATGTTCAAGAATACCAAAAAAAAAAAAATACAATGGAGGTTTTCACAAGTTCAAATAACTGTTCCTGTTCTGAGTTGTTCTTCCCATAGTGGTCAGGATGTGACCTGACAAGCGAGTCAAGTACTGTAGAGGTTTTGTATCGAGGTGTTTTTGTGAAAACGAACTTTAAATCAGGAATGTGATGAGGGAAGAAGTTTAGAAATAAGCTCCAGCTGCTTCAAACCATAATAAATACCCCATGGAAAAAAGCTTTACGTCCACATTCATGACTGCAAGTCCAAATCTTGGATTAAGATTTTGAAAACTCACATAAAATAATGTACAGGTCCAACAAGCCGCTGCAGTGAAAGTGTGACCACTTTCAAAATTCTCATTTCATCCAAATGTCACAGCGCCTGTGCCCGAGCCCGAGTGTGTTGAAGGAACAAAAAACATCTGGTGAGAATGAGCAGAACCTGCAGTTAGTCTGTCTGGGGTGACGATTTCACTACACTACTGTACACAATGGGGGTGTCCTCTTCAGTCAATGGTTATACTTATTTCACCAGTCCGATTTTCTTTGCTTCGGTTTCATAAATAAGTAACCGCCACATCTTCACTATGAAGACCTCAGCTTCTTCATCAAGAACCTGAACAGAAGCAAAGAACGTAGAAGAAAAGTCAATATCTGCTGAGACCAGTCTACACTCAGACAACAGCTAAAGGCAAATAAAGCACCTCGAGTTCAACTACGAGCTCTGAACGTTACAAAGCAAAGTCGTTCTGTCACAATAACAAATTTTGATGGGCGATTAATTGTCTTGGAAATTGTGATAAACGATAATACTGTTTGAAATTTGACAATAATTAGTAATTGTCAAATTTAAGAAAAAACAATTTATTGAGTGTAGTACCTTTTTTCGATCACTGGATGGCAGTATAAGACTGATCCGAAGGATGGATAGTGAGGGAGCAAGCACCATGTCTAAGAAAAATGGGAGGGAGGTCCTATGATGTGACATGGGCTGTCTTTCATTCCTTTATTCAGTTCTAAAAATGGCGGACGCTCTGTGTGGTTTGAGCTCTTTAGCATAGCATCTTTCACACAAAGCTTTTAATAAATAAATAAAAAAATCTGTAAACAAGTTCTCAGCTTTTTGCAGAAAAAAAAACGCTTTTTACACGAAGGCACTAAAGGTGTAACAAAACACCGATTTAAATTGATCTATCAATTAAATGATTCAATTATATTGTGGCAAAACTAAAACACTGATTCATAGCGTCATCTTTAAAATACGCTTTTATTTTGAAATTCCCAAGGCACATCTGTGTCACCATTTCCGTGTTTGGCTGCGCTCTGCGGCGCCTCAGCAACATGGCAGACGAGGCAGAAAACACAGATAATGAAATTCACTCTCCTGCTGGATTTAAATCAACACTAGAAATATTTTGGATTCCAACAGAAGGACGGCTCCACAGACAAAACTCATGTCGTGTGCAACAGGTGTCAGTGTGAGTTCAAATACTCAGGAAACAACAAATTTGTCCGTTCACCTGAAGAAGAAACACGACATTGATAGCCATGTTATGTAAGCTCAATGTCTATTTTTGTTTCTTTATAACTGAAAGGTAATCAGGACACTTTTAAGTGAAATGGTTTAAAAATGCACTTAAACAAGAGAAATGTGAGACGATACTGAACAGGTCATTTATTTTTTCATTAAGAAAACTTTTGTTATTATTATTTAAATGCCTGGTGCCTGTAATAACAGAAATAAAATGGTAAAATCATATTTGAATTGTTTTTGTAAATTAAATAAGCATTTGATATGGCAATATATCGACCGCAGACTTGTGAATCGAATAGAATCAAAATTTTATCGTGACAGACTTTGTGATATCGAGAAAAATCGTATTGTCATACAAATAAATCAATATAATATCGATCGTGGTAAAGCTGGTGATTTACACCCCGAGAAGGCACGGGTTTAAACTGTGAATTTTGGAGCTTCGACAAGACGGAGGTTTTTCCCGTCAGCCCGTTAGCTTAGCTTCTCAGCTTAGCTGCTTTTAATGATCCAAAAACGCGATTTTGGACGGTTCAAAAGGATTTTAAAGAGAAAGGGAGGGTCAGTGAAGAGCACCGGAGTTGAGCCTTTTGTCATCCAGTGTCTTCTGTAGAAAGGGACATGAAGAAACGATAAAGCCGATAAATGAAAATGAGGTCGATAGTTTTCATTCATCGTGTGATTACCGGTAATTGATTTATCGTTTATCGCGACAGGCTTAGCCATTCTGTCGGTTTTGATTGTGTTTTGAAATGGCAGCTTCTGTAAAGCCTATTTTAATTTGTACTTTAATCTGAATCACTATAACATGACAAGCACTACTCACCATAGCAACATCATCCAAGATGCTCTGCGGCATGCTGTGAGCCATCACCTGAGGACAGAAAAAACACCTTCCTTCAAATCTGAACAAAATACCATCTTTAATAGCTGCAGTATGATTAGTACCTTCGAGCACACAAAGTCCACTAATGTTGCTTCTTCCTCGCCGATGTATTCTATGATTTTTTTATTGATCCAGGGCCGAACTCGTCGTTCCATTAATGTCTACAAAACAAGATACCGGAGTTTGTTGAGCAAATACACAAACGAAACTGCAAAGTCAGAACTAAGTTTTCTTACTTTGAGCTATAAAGTATTTTAACAACACAAAGCTAATATTCTAAACTCAGCTTTATAGTTACAATCTCCTCTAAAACAGGGATTACGTGTGCAGATATGTAATGAAAGAGCCTCCTCACCGTGTCTACCATAGACCAGTCCAGGGGGTAGGAGAACAGCTCAGGTTTTGCCGTGGGAATCTTTTCTATCAGGCTCTTGATGTGTTTGTGCTTCTCCTCAGTGTTGCCTCCCTTTACGTTGGCGAGCCCGGCACCGTCCACACCGAGGCTCTTTTCGTCATCATAATCCAGGGGCACCAGCTTCCGTTTGCGTGGCTGCTCGTCAGCCTCTTCATCATCAAACTTGTCGAAGACGCTGTCCACTGGCAGCTTCTTTCTCTTGCCTGCGTTTGGTTGGCTGGGGCTTCCTGTAGCAGCTGAGGAGGACAAACATCGTCAACTTCTCGTGTCCTTGTTGCAACACTTGTTTGTGCAAGCTGCAGCAATAAAGTTAAATAAAGTTCTAGAATTGCTCCGTTCGGGGGTGGCTGCATGTTGGAGCAGCTCTGTTTCAATCATTCTGAGATTTTGCTTTTGGAAACTTTTAATTCCTCTTTTTCTGAATGTAAATCATATTTTTTGTGATGATTGTTTCCTCTGGTATCAGATGCTGTGCAGCTGGGAGGATTTTTACTGAAACTTTTTTAGTTTTGGATATTTGTTATGATGCGTAACCATAACAACAAGGTGGTTTTTACAAACGGGAGCAGCTGATCAAAAGCTCAAATAATTTCTCAGCTACAGCCCCAATTCTCAAGTGAGTTGAAAAGGAGGTGCCGTAGATGCATTCCCGTCTCCTTGCCGGCTGTGCTCGAGTGCCTGACCACTGAGCTCCTGGAGCTGGCAGGAAACGCAGCTCGTGACAGCAGGACAGGATTGTCCCCCGGCGCCTGCAGGACGAGGAGCTCGGCAGGCTGCTGGGAGGAGTGGCCTCCACTCGGGTTCTTGAGATGGCTCTGGGAGTTCTGCCCAGCATTCGGGCGGTCCTGCTGCCTGGACGAACCGAGAGGCCAGCCTAGTCTGGGGTGGAAGGATGTGCTGCCAGTTTCTTTGGATCCTCTGTGGGACAGACCTTTACAAGAGATCCTTCCTCCCTACAGCCATCAGCATCTATAACATCTCTTAATGAAACTAAGATAACAAGCAGCTACAACATTTAATTTCCCTTTGAGATTAATAATTATTTTTTAATTGAATTGAAAACAATAATTAGACAAAATATCTAATTTATTAGCCACCTTAAAACGCAATGCCCATTTTAAACTAATAATGGATAACTGAAGTATATTTTCTCTTGTGCGACTATCCTGTGAACATAAAGTACTTTTAATGGCTGTTTTGTAGCCATCTGCATCCGATTCAACAGAAGAGTAGCTTTTCCAAGCTCGTACAAACACATTATAACTCACTCCCTATTAAGTTTGTGTGTACTGAAAGTAAACAAAATTAAAAACAAGACTTAGTTGGTTTATTTTTCATTGTTTACTTTGGTCTGTTGTCATGAAATGGCACCTCTGAATGCCGTGGGGTGACCGATCACAAGACACCGGGGCTCTGTGCTGCTGGTGAACTGACAAGTCCCTGGTGGGTTGGCTCATGTGAGAGGGCATCAAGGGTCAGAGGGTCCACCTCTAGGGCTCATTACGCTGCATTAGATTATAGCTCTGAATAAACAATATAGTGATTAAAGGAGGATTTTAAAATACCTAAATAAATAACGTGATAAAACTTCAAAATATCTACCAGTATGTTAATTTCTGGTCGTATCGTCCAGTCCTGATCGCACCATTCGTGTTTCAAACATACATATAACTGATTCACAAGTTTCTTAAAATGAACAAATGGATTTCTCTAAATAAACCTAAACATCATTTTATACACATTCAACAAGATGTTTAAAAGGAAATACCTCTTTTAATAGAGAAACCTGTATTTTGGTGGGTAACATTCTTTCTAGAAGTGGCTTCCGAGTTTGTCACTGCTTCATTTGAAGAAATCACTAGAATGAGTACATTTCTATTTTAAATTGGTGTTGAATTATACTATTTAGACTCATTCATGTTTAAAGCACTGCCACTTACAAGGTACGCACTTTTATTGTCGTAACACAGCTAGAGTAAATCCAGAAGATTGAACTTGTCAAGACGCTTGCTGTTCGGTACGTACAGGTTTTGGCAGCTGGTTTGAAAAAGATTAGGTGACTTTTTTTTCTTGTTTATAGTTTTTTTTTTTTAATATTCCACTTCAAGTGATCTTCTTTTAAATTGATGGATTAAGTCCTGACAGTTCTAATCTACAACACAAGGCGTTTGCTTAATAATCGCCTATTAATTTGATTTATTTCCAGTAGACTTATCTTGAAGAAAAGCGAGGGGGCTTAAACTCACCCAGTTTAAGGCTGAGGCCGATCTTCGGCCGGTGTTCTTCCTGCGGCAGAGCGTCCGGGGGCGAGTTCTCGTGAGGGATGATGATCCCGCACGGCGACTCTTCTCCTCCGGGAGTGTTGGGAGACACGTTGCCGCTCGCTGATGACACTGAGGGTGCAGCTGTAATGGGCCGCATTGTGGGCTTCAACTGTGGTTTTTCATTGGGGTATTCTTCTTCTTCATTGTCAAAATCCTGCTCCTCGCCCTCCTCCATCTCTTCGTCTGAGTGGCTGGGCCGCGAGCGGGGCTCTACCTCTACATGCTCCTGCCTACGATCCCGGTGGTCTCTCGAACTCCTGTGGCGATCATGTTGCTCCTCGGGTTCAGGCTCTTGGATGACGGGGGGCTGTCTCAGACGCTCCTCCTCTTCCTCCTCCATCTGTGAGAATAACAAGCAGATAAACAGAAAGTGTCACCCAGTAACTGCATATAACAAAAAAAGGTCATCAGACATTGAAAACTAAATATGTTTTGATGTGCAGAGATGCAGAGAGGCTCAGATGATGAAATGACCTTCACAAAATCAGGCAGCATGCTCACTCACTACACCCAGACACACACGCACACATTTTGACAGACAAGCATACCCTGCGCAGCTCTGCGTCTGGGTCTGGATGTCCCTCGTCTAACAGCCTCCGTCTGATCTCCTCCAGCTCCTCCTTCTCTCTCTTCCTGTCACGCTCGTCTGCCTCCATCTCCTTCTCTCTGTCTCTGAGACGCTTCTGCAGCGCACTGCCCCTAGAGGTCACAGAGGAAACTTCAACCCTCAACATTTAACTGTTTTCATTCAGTGACATCAGTCCGTCACACAAAACATTCATGTCGATGCCTCAATTTTCAACATTTGTTACAATTTAAACAGATTTAATCAATCTGTGCAACACCACACAGATATCAGATACAAAACATTTTCACATAAAAACGGTGCATTTAATTTAGAATATTGTAACCCCTATAAAAACAGAGGTGTGGCTTTCCTTGTTGTAATACTGACCTGTAATACTTGGGGTCATCTCTGTCATCGTCATAGTCTTCAAGAAACTCTTTCAACCGTTTGCCTTCTTTTACCTGAAGAACCGTTAAAATATATTTATGTCGATTTTTTTTTTTTTTTTTTTACACAATAAACCAAATTTATTTATTAGTTCTGAAAATAAAACGTGACAAAATTGATATATTACATAAACAACACAAATAAATTCAAATATATTAAAATTTTGAACCAAAGTGCTTTTTAATGGGCTTATAAATATTAATATATTCTTCTTTTCAAATAATAAAAATGAATGAGCAGTTATTTTCTCACCATTTCTCGTCTGCGCTCATCTTCTCTTTCGGCCTCCTTGGCATAATCCCTGGACTTCTTCCTCTCCCTCAGCTCCCAGTTTTTCAATCGCTTCAACAAAAACAATAGTGTCCCCTTATTTTGAAGGTCTAATTTAGTTTGACTCAACATTTTGCTCTAAACTTGAAGCATTCTGGAGTTTGCATCACATAGCACATCTCGCATCTTTGGAGACATGATTATCGACTGCACCTTTAATTTCTTGGGGGGGGTTACCTCTTGGTATGCCGCTTCCTTATCTCTGAGTTTTCTTTCCAGCTTCCTGCGTTCGTAAGCCTCCTCTTCATCCTCTTGATCCCGTTTTTTTTCTCTCTCTCTGTCACGACTCACCTCTCTATAAAAAAACAAAATTAGGGGAACATCAAACTTTAAACTCTTTTTAAATATAAAATATACAAACTCGCTCAAATAATACAGGAACAGATCCTTGTATATTTGTCCTGAACAATACAGTGTAAATGTTACACTAAAGCAGTTTTACACATGAAAGACTAAAAGACAAACATGGCTTCAAGTTGAAATGTTCAGCTTTAAGCACATTAATAAACCATCAGTGACAACTTGACTTAACATGGCAGCCAAGCTTTATCAAGCTTTATTAATCTTTTTTTTTTTAAAACTTCTAGAATAGGAATGGTCACCTTTATGGAAATGTAACCATACTTTGTCAAAAAACAACAAATTAAAGGATTTAATTAGTTCATAAATGTAATTCATGAAAGTTTTTTTAACTTCACCTCGATCGGCTGCGGTCAGCGCTCCTGTCCAGGCTCCTGTCTCTGTCCCAGTCTCGCTCCCTCTCTCTCTCTCTTTCTCTGGTCTTGCGATCGCGGTCCTTGTCTCTTTCTCGCTCCCTTTCCCTCTCTCGCTCTCTCTCCCGCTCTCGCTCCTTCTCCCTCTCGCGGTCCCGCCGTTCCCTTTCCCGTTCTCGCTCCTTTTCACGCTCCCTCCTTTCCCGCTCAAAATCCTGCCGCTCCTTCTCCCGCTTATCCTTCTCCTCCTCCAGTTTCTGCGGAGCAAAACACAGACAGGTTCAGCTGATGCCACGCAACATCCGGCGGGTGGTTGCAGTAAGCTTATAAATACGCACAGATCGAGTAGTTTCCAGATTTTGAGGGGTTTCACAGAAGAACATGTCCTATTTTGATAAGTGAAAAGCTGAAAGACTGACTGGGAACGACACGTGACAAAAAGAAGTCTCACAGAGGGGCTTCGTTGTTCAACACGGTGAACTTTGTTGCTTCAAACTTGCTAAATAAAACTACATTTAACAAGAACATAACTGGAAACCACTCAAATGGTTGGAAAGATCTGTGGAACGTTCAGTTTTTGGCATTTTTTACAAGAAAAGCGCAGCAAAAAGAGAGTTTTCTCTTCTAAAAATTCCTTCTTTCAGAACAAGAAAAACAGAAAACAGGCATCAGTTTTTTGTTGAACTAGTTGTTTGTGACTTACAGGTGTTGAACTATGGACTCAGCCCTTCGCTGCCCCTACAAGCCTTTTAAGTTAGGCCTGGGAGGAAAGCAGGTCACACGGTATACAAGGAAAAAATGTTATGGGGTTTTCTTTTCTTGCTGAAGCATCATCATCAACAAAATATTTCATTTCAATTGGTAACATGGCATTTGCTGTGGTTATTAAATCAAGTAATAAACATTGTGCAAATATGTTACATTTCTGCATAGATAAATAAAATTGTAGAAGCAGTCTTACCCGTGCAGAAGTCTTCAGCTGCTCTTCTTGACTTGTATTGTTACACACACACACACACAGCACAACTGACTTATTACAGGCATTACACACAAGGCTTCACGGTTTTATGCAAGATTAGACATTATGCTTGTGTCTTTAATGTCTCTTACATCTGTGGTGTTACACAGTAACATGGCATTTGTTTTATCTAGTTAGGACCCTAAAGCCATCACAAAACACATGGTAGTCCTCAGCAACAAAAAAAGACTGATAGAAAGCCTTGGGTGTAACAAAACAAAAGAAAACAAGACACAACAGAGATGTGAACAATGACCTAAATGCTAACATGGTTCTAGTAGGGTTCAACTGCTTATTTTAGGATCTGAATCGGTTTGCTTGTTTGGCTTCATGCCAGGTGGTCCACATTTCATCCAGCTAGATGAGTTTTTATTATAATCAGCAACTCTTCCAGTGGTTTCTGAAATATTTTCTGGAGTGTGATTTTGGGGGTTGGTTATCTTATTTTGAAGTCAAGTGTTTTCTGTAGATACACACTAAATAGGCAAGAAATGGTCATCCATAAATAAAATTAATCCCGGGGGACTTTCACAAAGCAATTCCAAGCCAGAACAAGATGCCCTCTGGCCTGGTGATACTTGTGAACAGACCAAGATGGCGTGGGCGCGTTAAGCCAACCCATTCTGATGTGCCTTTGTGCTGTGATGTGAGGTAGGAACAGAGCTGAAACGGTCAACCTGTGAAAAGGTAAACAAGCTTTCTGGATCACCTGATGACATCTGGTCTGAGCGACCACTCAGTCGCAGGATTAAACAACAGGTTTATAACAGAGAGAAGATCAATGATGATGCCAGTTTTGCTCCACGCCTCTTGGTTCTGCAATGTTCACGTAATTTCTGAAAGCTCCATTTATGAACAATCAGAGGCATTATAAACACAGACTGGTCTTTACGGCCATTTTGTGAACTGCTAACTGAGCCTCGTTTCTTGTTTTGGTTTGTTTTTGCATGCGTTCCAGCTTTTTACTCAACACTAAAGTTGTACACAAATCATTCAAAATTAAAATAATTTCTAAATTAAACATCCCAATTTTTTAATATCATAATAATAATTTAAAAAAATTCAATTTAAAATTAGCTTTGACACCAAAATTGTGAAAAATGTACTGCTTTCTTCACCAACGACAAAACAACTCAAAAATGGAAAACAACACAAACTGGGTTGACCAATGCGTAACTCTTAGCATGTTTCAACAACTAAGCTAGCCCATGTTTTCCCCCCCGTTACATTTTCTATCGTGCACCTTTTTACTTACCTCTATAAAAACTACAGTACTAGACACTGGTAAACAAACATCTCACGCCATGCATGAAAGTAACGTGTAAAACAATTTCCCTCTTTTTATTTAACTGTCAAATGTCTTCTGGTAATTTGGTTTTAATTTTTTGGAACAAAATTATTAACCTTTTTTAATTCATATACACAAATATATATATATATATATATATATATATATATATATATATATATA